ACATGTTTCATGCTAAATATCTTAGCTCTAGCTCTTTGAGTTCTTTCAAAGAAGATTTTTTAAGTTTTTAAATATATGCATATAGGGAAAATCAATGCCCCCTGGGGCGGGGCCCAATTTTTGACCCCAGGGCTTTTATTTGAACAAACTTGGTAGACACTCATAAGAAGATGTTTCATGCTGAATATTTAAGCTCTAGCTCTTTGGGTTCTTTAAAAGAAGAATTTTTAAGTTTTTACTATATGCATATAGGGAAAATCAATGACCCCCTGGGGCGGGGCCAATTTTGACCCCAGGGATTTTATTTGAACAAACTTGGTAGACACTCACTAGAAGATGTTTCATGCTAAATATCTAAGCTCTACCTCTTAGGGTTTTTTAAAAGAAGATATTTAAAGTTTTTTCTTTCGGTTGCCATGGCAACCAGAGTTCTGCATGGAATTAAATTCTTTGAACAATTTTTAAAGGTGACCACCAAAGGAGCATTCCTGTGAAGTTTGGATGAAATTGGCTTAGTGGTTTATGAGGAGATGTCATTTAAAGTAAAAGTTTAAAGACGGACGGACGGACGAAAAGCGATCACAACAGCTCACCCTGTCACTTTGCGACAGGTGAGCTAAAAATTGGGCAAAACAGAGTTATGGTTTTTTTGAACTGCACTTATGTAATGAGATCTATCTACCAACAAAGTTTCATGTATATATATCTTATAATTTTAGAGTAATTTCCCAGACAAAGTTCAAAAAGTAAAAATAAACAAAGGGCAATAACTCAAGAATTAGGCAAGGCAGAGTTATGATTTTTGTGCACTGCACATCTACCCATTCAGATATATCTACCTACAAAGTTTCATGTTGATATCTCTTATAGTTTTACAGCTATGTCCTGGACAATATTTTTCTAAAAGGGGAGATAATTCAAAAATGAGGCTTAACAGAGTTATGTTTCTTTTGCACTGCACTTCTACTCAATGAGATCTATCTACCCATAATGTTTCATCTTGATATCTCTTATAGTTCTTATAGTTTTAGAGTTATTTTTCGGACAGTACAAAGTGTTAAAATTAACAAAGGGCAATAACTCCAAAATTAGGCAAAAAAGAGTTATGGTTCTTGTGCATTGCACATCTACCCATTGAGATCTATTCACCTACAAAGTTTCATGTTGATATCTCTTATAGTTTTAGAGTTATGTCCCAGACAAGATTTTTCTTTAAGGGGAGATAATTCAAAAACCAGGCAAAATAGTTATGGTTCTTTGAAAAGTAGCGTAAAATGAGGATTTCCGGCATTGATCAACATTTAACAGATAGAGGCTATGAAAATATTTACATTCTTTCCGGAGGCTTGCTTTATACCACTTTTCTAAAAAACATTTAAAACAAGCAAATTCGTTGAATTTATATCCCCCGCCGAGTACTGGTTATTATTAACACAACAACTGAAGACATAAGGCTTTATTTATATATTAATCATGGCATAAACTGTAATATTCTTTGATCTTGAAGCCTTGTACCTTCAAACAAGAAGAAGTTTTCACTATATACATATAAGGTAAATCTATGACCCCTGAGTGGTCAATTTTGACCCCAGGGCTAAAATTTGAACAATTTGGTAGAGGACCTATAGGTTATATCATATACCAAATATCAAAGCTCTAGGCCTTTTACTTCAGACAAGAATTTTTTAATTTTGCATTTTTGAAACTCCTTTCTGGCCCTGTGACCTACTTATGCAACAGACCGGAACCATTTGATCAACTTTTGCAGGGGACCACCCTAGATCATTCCTATAAAGTTTGGTTGCTGTGCAGTCATTTGTTTCTGAGGAGATGTTGTTTAAAGAAAATTGCTGACGACGCACGACGACGGACGGGTGGGGGATCACAATAGCTCACCTAGATGTAAAAACATCTTAATCTCCAGACTTTATTGCCATTTTCAAGGCATCAAGAAGGGATCTCACAATTTTCAAATATTTTTAAATGTTATTGTAACAAATCATTTTAATTCTTCTTCAATAAAAACTAGAAATGTGTCCATAGGACACAGGTGCCCCCACCGCCACTTTTCTGTCAATCTTATGACTCTAGGTCAAATATTTTTTGAAAACTAAAAATCTTTTTACTAAGTAAAGGGCAAGAACTTTACAAATACTGAATATATCCCCAAGCAAACCCCAAGTTGAAAATTGCAAATTTAAACTACTGTAATTCAAGGGCAATAACTCTAACAAAACTGAAAAAAATCCACATGCAAAGTCCCAGGTTCATAGCTTCACAGTGAGGTGAATCATTATTCCTGTAATTTAGCGATGTTGATCATTATTCCTGTAAAGTTGGTCGATTCTAACTCAAGCACTCAAGGATCAAATAACAACATAATGAAACAGTTTTTACTAAGTCAAGGGAAATAACTTTACAAATACTGGGTAAATCCACAAGCGAAACCCCAGGAACAAACTAAATATGCTGAGCAACTTTCCAATAAGGTTTAATGACTCTATGTCAAATCCTTTTTGAGTTACATGCGACACATGTTGAAAATTGCAAACATTTTCTAAGTCAAGGGCAATAACTCTAACAAGAGGGCCATCATGGCCCTGAGGTCGCTCACCTGAATATAGCCCCCCCCCCCCCAAGCAGGGCCAATTTTAACCCAAGGACTTTTATTTGAACAAACTTGGTAGACACCCATAGGAAGATGTTTCACATATAGTTAAAAACAATGACATCCCTGGGGCGGGGCCAGTTTTGACCCCAGGGCTTTTATTTGAACAAACTTTGTAGACACTTACTAGAGGATGTGTCATGCTTAATATCTAAACTCTAGCTATTTGGGTTTTTTCAAAGAAGATTTTTTTAAGTTTTTGCTATACACATATAAGGAAAATCATTGACCCCCCGGGGCGGGGCCAATTTTGACCCCAGGGTTTTTATTTGAACAAACTTGGTAAACACCCATTAGAACATGTTTCATGCTAAATATCTTAGCTCTAGCTCTTTGAGTTCTTTAAAAGAAGATTTTTTAAGTTTTTACTATATGCATTTAGTTAAAAACAATGACACCCCTGGGGCGGGGCCAGTTTTGACCCCAGGGCTTTTATTTGAACAAACTTTGTAGACACTCACTAGAAAATGTTTCATGCCTTATATCTAAACTCTAGCTATTTGGGTTTTTTTCAAAAAAGAATTTTTTAAGTTTTTGCTATACACATATAAGGAAAAATCAATGACCCCCGGGGCGGGGCAAATTTTGACCCCAGGGCTTTTATTTGAACAAACTTTGTAGACACTCATTAGAAGATGTTTCATGCTTACTATCTAAACTCTAGCTATTTGGGTTTTTTCAAAGAAGATTTTTAAGTTTTTGCTATACACATAAGGGGAAAATCAATGACCCCCGGGGGCGGGTCCAGTTTTGACCCCAGAGTTTTTATTTGAACAAACTTTGTAAACACTCACTAGAAGATGTTTCATGCTTAATATCTAAACTCTAGCTATTTGGGTTTTTTCAAAGAAGATTTTTTTTAAGTTTTTGCTATACACATATTAGGAAAATCAATGACCCCCGGGGCGGGGCCAATTTTGACCCCAGGGCTTTTATTTGAACAAACTTGGTAGACATCCATTAGAACATGTTTCATGCTAAATATCTTAGCTGTAGCTCTTTGAGTTCTTTAAAAGAAGATTTTTTAAGTTTTTACTATATGCATATAGGGAAAATCAATGACCCCCCTGGGGCGGGCCAATTTTGACCCCAGGGCTTTTTATTTGAACAAACTTTGTAGACACTCACTAGAAGATGTTTCATGCTAAATATCTAAGCTCTACCTCTTAGGGTTTTTTAAAGAAGATATTTAAAGTGTTTTCTTTCGGTTGCCATGGCAACCAGAGTTCTGCATGGAATTAAATTCTTAGAACAATTTTTAAAGGTGACCACCAATGGAACATTCCTGTGAAGATTGTATGAAATTGGCTTAGTCATTTATGAGGAGATGTCATTTAAAGTAAAAGTTTACGGACGAACGACGGACAGACGGACAACGGACGGACGAAAAGCGATCACAAAAGCTCACCCTGTCACTTTGTGACAGGTGAGCTAAAAATACTAAATAAATCCAGACGAAAATACCCAGGTGCACAACACTACACATGCTGATCAACATTCCTGTAAAGTATCATGACTTTAGGTCAAATACTTTTTGAGTTACTTGCGACACAAGTTGAAAATTGCAAAATTTTACTAAGTCAAGGGCCATAGCTCTAAAAATAGTAAAAATATCCCGGACGAAAATACCCAGGTGCACAACTACACATACTGATCAACATTCCTGTAAAGTTTCATGACTCTAGGTCAAATACTTCTTGAGTTACATGCGACACAAGTTGAAAATTAAAATTTTTTACTAAGTCAAGGGCAATAACTCTAAAAATACTAAAAATATCCAGACGAAAATACCCAGGTGCACAACTTCACATGCTGATCAACATTCCCATAAAGTTTCGTTGAATTCCAGCCATTAGTTGCAGAGAACTACTCCGGAAACGAAATTCGGACGTTTTACTAAGTCAAGGGCAACTACTCTAAAAATACTAAAAATATCCAGATAAAAATACCTAGGTGCACAACTTCACATGCTGATCAACATTCCCATAAAGTTTCGTTAAATTCCAGCCATTAGTTGCAGAGAACTACTCTGGAAACGAAATTCGGACGTTTACTAAGTCAAGGGCAATAACTCTAAAAATACTAAAAATATCCAGAAGAAAATACCTAGGTGCACAACCTCACATGCTGATCAACATTCCCATAAAGTTTCGTTGAATTCCAGCCATTAGTTGCAGAGAACTACTCCGGAAACGAAATTCGGACGGACGGATGGACGGACGGACGGACAACGCCAAAACTATATCCCCCTCCCGATTCCATCGGCGGGGGATAATTAATCTACATTAAATGTTAATATCCAGTATTTTATTCCAATATAAAAAATTCTTACACGTCTTTAACATATGAATTTCCTACCTGAACTTGTTTCTCAGAATCATCTGTCTGGCTATCAATAGCCACATGTGTGTTGGAGAAACCGTTTAAACCATTCCGACTCTTGCTTAATCCTATCCTTTTAAGGTCACTTTCTTGGTCCAAATCAGTCAATGTTTTTTTAGGTGTACGATGAAACCTTCTATGGGAGATTGCAGATATACCCTGATTATCATTATAATCACTGTACCGGTCGTTATATTCGCTGAACCGGTCATGATAGTCACTTAATCTATCGCTAAAATCCCCTCTCTCATCAGGAAAAGATGTTCTACTTGCATATTCAGTATCTGATTTACGTGTCATTTCATTGGTTATCTGTCTATTTGAATTTTGTCTCTTTCGGAACACTCTCTGAATATCTGCAGTAAGACTTTCAGCTGTCTGGGGGCCGACGCTTTGCTTTTCTGAAAAATCAATATACACTAAGATCAATATTTGAACCTGATTTTTATCATAATCTACATGTTAATTTACAGGTTAGCAACTACAAAAAAGTAAATTATACACTACATGTTATTTTGTAAAAATAAACTTACTTAACACTCACCCTGCTGCATAATTGTAATAGACTGGTCCTGATTTAAATTTGGAACTGTCCATTTTCAAATTAAGGTGATTCAGCATTGTCAGCCATATTTGATTTTCAGTAAGTGGGTCCATAGTGAAAGAAGGCCAAATTTCATACTTTTATTTTGACCCACTTATTGAAAATCAAACATGGCTGACAATGCAGAATCATATTAACTAAGTATTTCAATATAACAATAATAAATTGCCCAGCACAGTTAAAAGTCTTGTGAGACAATAACTTATTGAATAGGGATGAAAAAATCAAGAGCTGTAGAAAGGACATTGTGCTTGACCTATTCTCAGAGCTTGATCAACAAGAACCTGGATAATGTAGAATTTTCAAAGTTCAAAAAGGACCATTATTCCGTCAAAATCCATGTCAAACTTATAGGCCTTTGACAGTGACCTCCTTTTTATGCACTCAAATAAGTGTGAAAAGTTTCAACCCACTCTATTCAGTAGTTTCAGAGATACCAACTTGCATGCAAAAATTTAACCAAGTGTGATGCTGAAGCCTGGGTGAGTACAAAAGCTCTCCCTATTCTTCGAATAGCCAAACTAATCAATACAGCTTCACAACACTTCACCTTCTTGTCTATCAGTCCATGTGGCATAATTTTCTGTCACAAGTAATTCATTCAAGCAGATGAGTCCGCCACGTCGTGTTCCAAGGAACATTCGTACAGACAGAGTGCCGTCTAAATATGTCTCCATAACGCTGCATCTAACCTCTGTAGCAGCTAAAATAATAACAAGAAAAAATTGTAATTTGAAACAATTTCGCTAAATAAATTAGAAACATTGTCTTATCATTTCAATGATTTAATGAACATTTAGTTAGTCCACTTCTTTTTCCAATTTAACAGTAAAACTCTTTATTTTTTTAGCAACACCATGTGAATGATATCTTACTGGTGATTTCAAAAGCTAAACTGGATGAATTAAATCTGTGTATAAACATACTAACTGTATAAAATTACCTTCAATGTTGTCACTGATATACTTTACTGCTGCCTCGTCCCAGAATCTCTTTGGTCTGAATCAGAACAAATAAAATCATACTAGCTCCGACTTTTTCTTTGAAAATGACAAATTACAAATTGAAAGCAGGGATGCACATTATCAATATTCAAGGCTAAAATAAAAACAATTTTACCAGATATTTCATGTACTTCTAGAGAATGAAACATTGAATTATGGGGAATATTTTATGAAAGAACAGTTCCAAAAAGTGAAGCAATATGAATCAAAAGAAATAGAATGGTTCACAATGTACAACTAACCCTTGGTAAACACTTAAATCTTCTGGTGAAATCTTCATAGAATAAGGTTGAATATCATGCAGATGTACATTCTTCACTTGGAATGCCAGTTCACAATACTTAGGAGGTAGGTGTTTCAACCTGGAATTAAACCACATGTGTAAGTAATGTAATTGTCCACCTGCTTAACTTAATTGGGAGAGCATCAGATAAGTAATAGAGTGCTGGTTCGATCCTCATGCCAGGCATTAATTCTCTGTGACAAGTGATTTTATTTACTCATGAGAAATAAGTAGTCACTTGCAAAGAAATTGGTAATTAATGGTTAGGTTTTCAGAAAAGTTGGTTAGGTGAATTGGCAGCAAAGACATGGGCATGTTAAAATTGGTATAAAAATCCCCCCAGAAAAACAAACTTAACAAATTGAGCTGAAAGTCACACCATAATATGAACTGTATACTAAGCACACAGAGCATGTTCACGTATCTTATAAGTTTTTTCACTGTACATTACAAATAATTACTCCATAAAATGTACAGCCCTACATACCCTGATATTGGAATGGTACTTTCTAGTCCTTCATCCACAAAACGGCACCTTTAAGAAAGAAAATAAACCTGTTGATCATAAAATATTTTGGGGAAGTCTATCCATCAATATCTATTATTTTTCAGTCATCTAAATAGTTTCTTATAAAATATAAAATAATTATATGTTTATTAAACAAATGATTTATTTAAAGGCTTTACTTTTTTGCATTGATTTTGACTGGTATTATCACTTTAAAGACTTACGCAACAATATAACCATGTCTGCCTCCGCTAAGTTTACTGATTACTTTCACTCTGTACCAATGGTTTTTTAGTATACCTGCACACAGTTCACCCTGAAAACATTATGTAATACATGTATATGATAGATAGGCACTGTCCTGGTATGTAGCAGAAGTGGTTTTATTATAAATAATAAATTTCTGTACCATACTGTGCTAATATAAGAAGTTAAACTGTGTTGTAAAGCATTATATCAAATTTTACTCCAGTGTCAATACAAACACTATAAGGCACAACCTTGGCTTACTGTGAGGCATTCAAACATCTTCTAACATTGTATATGACCCTGTACTCTTGTAAGTTAAGTTCACTCTTGTAAGTTAAGTTTCAAGTGAATATCCTATGTAGTTATATAGAAACACAAAACCTTAACTAAGTGTTATTCCAATGTCTTAATGCTCAAACTAAAGATAGCTTAAAAATTCTTCAAAAAATCAAGCTATAAACTGAATCTAAGAGCTTAACACAATTAGACACTAACTCTTAACAACATCTTAATTTTAGATTTAAGATGTCACATTAAGAATACAATACATTTATTCCTATCAAACAAGTCTATGGCCTTTTTTCCATTTCAGATAAAAAAAATGCACTAGTATTTTATCTGTTACTTGTAATAAAACCTTACAATCATTATATTAATCATTTCTTTGATTTTTATATAAGATCCTTATTTTGCATTTTAGGCAATAAAAATACATACGACTCTAGGATTATAGGACATGACAGACACCACCTGGTCATTGGTAAAGTGTTCCTGCATTTCTGCCAGCAGTGTATCATAGGCATCATCATCTGTCCGTACCTTTCCTGATATACCTCCATGGCAATCAACCTGAAATATCAAATGTTTGCATTAAAGTGACATTATGCTTTTTTTTTTGCTGTAAAGTTGAACAAGTATTATATTGAAAAAGACTCGCTATTATACTGGTGATTGACCAATAATTGACAATAAAAAAATGTTATCATAATCATAAATACATAAAATATAGAAAAACTGCCCCACTCTTTATGAAAATTGAATGTATTTCATGCTTAGAATGATGTCATTTGACCGTTATGAATGAATTTACAAATTCATACCTTACTATAAGTAAAAAGTGCTAAATGAAAACATTGATATGTAATGGCTGACAGGAATATTATATAGCTCTCTGGTGACTGTTTAGCAGAATCTTGGCAGAGCCTCATTACTGCCTTAAGTTACCCTCAAGCTAAATATTCCAGTCAGTACCAGCAGCTGGTGTTAGATTCTTATACTCTTTCAGTCATGGCTATATCACTGCTGAAATATTTTATTTTAAACAAACAAATATCATCTGACTATATTATGTTAATTACCTTTACTCTCTCTAATACAAGTTCATCATTCATTTTCAAATATTCACCTAAAAATAATAGAACATACATTCAACAAAACATACAATGGTTTCTTTTCCTATCTGGACGAAGAATTTTGCTAGTCATAAATAAGATTTTGCTTTGAATGTGTCTATAATGTAACAACAGCTTGGTTTTAGACATGGCCACCAGCTTAATTAGTCTGAGACTGCTTTTGTATGTTTTGGATCGAATTTTCATAATTCATAGACCTTAAAATAATTGACCAAAATTATTGATTTTTACAAAGGTGTATCGAATATTGATCAACAGAAAAATATCAACAATACATCAATATAATCTCTATTGATGACAGCTTTAAATTAAACTTCATCACAACTTGTGTCACGAAGGAGAGATTCTGAGCTCAGGCCATTTCACAGAATTATTTTTAAAAGCTCCAGGCTTTGTGGTATCCAAATGTGACACCCTTAAAATTAGCCTTTGAATGTGAGAACAAGCCTGGCTATCGTCAGAACAATTCAGGAATATACTGGTGCCCATATTTAAAAAGAGCACCGCATTTGAATATGGCAGAGAGCCATATTTGAATTTGTAGAAAGAATTTGTAAATGGAGTAAAACAATGCATATTGTGTTGTTAATATGGAGAGGTAGTTTCAATAATAAAATTGACCATGATTGTGGAGAACAATATTTACTGCAGGGATAGACCAAAAGGATCATTATGGGAAAATATTGGAACACATACACCTGTGACCAAGACATAGATTCTTGATCTGTCTAATTCTAATTATCAGATAATAAGATTAGCAGATGCAGTAAGAATTTTACCACAACATATTTGTTCACATAAGAACGCATGTCAATGTTTTTGGTCAATGTTTTGTTATTCAAATGTAAGTTCAGAGTAGGGATCTGTCAAGTGTCTGTGCAAATATCTCAACATGTAGTATAATTATTGCTGGTCTAGGTCCATATTAAGGTGGTAAATGTTAAGAAATTATAAATAATTGGCTATTGCTCCCTCAGAAAATTGTTTAAATGATATAAAAAACAAGAGGGCCATGATGGCCCTGAGGTCGCTCACCTGCATATAGGCCCCCCCAACCCCCAACGTTGCAGGGCCAATTAAACCCAAGGGCTTTTATTTGCACAAACTTGGTAGACACCCATAAGATGTTTCATGCTAAACATCTAAGCTCTAGCTCATTGGGCTTTTTAAAAGAAGATTTTTTTAAAGTTTTTACTATACACATATAGTTAAAAACAATGACACCCCTGGGGCCGGGCCAGTTTTGACCCCAGGGCTTTTATTTGAACAAACTTTGTAGACACTTACTAGAAGATGTTTCATGCTTAATATCTAAACTCTAGCTATTTGGGTTTTTTCAAAGAAGATTTTAAGTTTTAGCTATACACAGATAAAGACAATCAATGACCCCCAGGGCGGGGCCAATTTTGACCCCAGGTCTTTTATTTGAACAAACTTTGTAGACACTCACTAAAAGATGTTTCATGCTTAATATCTTAACTCTAGCTATTTGGGTTTTTTCAAAGAAGATTTTTTAAGTTTTTGCTATACACATATAAGGAAAATCAATGACCCCCAGGCGGTGCCAATTTTGACCCCAGGGCTTTTATTTGAACAAACTTGGTAGACACCTATAAGAACATGTTTGATGCTAAATATCTTAGCCATAGCTCTTTGAGTTCTTTAAAAGAAGATTTTTTAAGTTTTTACTATATGCATATAGGGAAAATCAATGACCCCCCGGGGCGGGGCCAATTTTGACCCCAGGGCTTTTATTTGAACAAACTTGGTAGACACTTATTAGAACATGTTTCATGCTAAATATCTTAGCTCTAACTCTTTTGGTTCTTTAAAAGAAGATTTTTTAAGTTTTTACTATATGCATATAGGGAAAATCAATGACCCCCCGGGGCAGGGCCAATTTTGACCCCAGGGCTTTAATTGAACAAACTTGGTAGACACTTATTAGAACATGTTTCATGCTAAATATCTTAGCTCTAACTCTTTTGGTTCTTTAATAGAAGATTTTTAAAGTTTTTACTATATGCATATAGGGAAAATCAATGACCCCCTGGGGCGGGGCCAATTTTGACCATAGGGCTTTTATTTGAACAAACTTGGTAAACACCTTTAAGAACATGTTTGATGCTCAATATCTTAGCCATAGCTCTTTGAGTTCTTTAAAGGTAGATTTTTTAAGTTTTTACTATATGCATATAGGGAAAATCAATGACCCCCCGGGGCAGGGCCAATTTTGACCCCAGGGCTTTTATTTGAACAAACTTGGTAGACACCCATTAGAACATGTTTCATGCTAAATATCTTAGCTCTAGCTCTTTGGGTTCTTTAAAAGAAGATTTTTTAAGTTTTTACTATATGCATATAGGGAAAATCAATGACCCCACGGGGCAGGGCCAATTTTGACCCCAGGGCTTTTATTTGAACAAACTTGGTAGACACTCACTAGAAGATGTTTCATGCCAAATATCTAAGCTCTAGCTCTTATGGTTTTTTAAAAGAAGATATTTAAAGTTTTTTCTTTCGGTTGCCATGGCAACCAGAGTTCTGCATGGAATTAAATTCTTTGAACAATTTTTAAAGGTGACCACCAAAGGAACATTCCTGTGAAGTTTGGATGAAATTGGCTTAGTGGTTTATGAGGAGATGTCATTTAAAGTAAAAGTTTACGGACGGACGACGGACGGACGCCGGACGAAAAGCGATCACAAAAGCTCACCCTGTCACTTTGTGACAGGTGAGCTAAAAATACAGTAAGTTACAGGAGCACGTATCCCTCTTTCTCGTTTTCTCCAGGTTTCTCGTATTCTCGTGGAATAATTAAAACGGATGGAAGCGCCGCTCGCGACTTCCTTCGATATCCGAAAACATGTCTATTTAGCAGAGCATTTTCATCTCCGTTAAAAAAATAAAAGAAATGCGACAAAAACAGATAAAAAACCAAAATAACTGTGGAAATAATCATAAAATCCAGAGAATAAATATTAAATTTATCAATTTTCCCCCCCAAAATCATCAATTTTCTAGTTTTTTCCATGTTGCAGAAACCTGAAGCGGGTCTCTGACGCAAGACGCTTCAAATGATGGTCTCACACTACTATTTATACAATAAAGCTCAAAATATTTGTTCCACGAATAGATAGTATAAAAAAGATTTGAACTCCAATTAAAAACCAATAATGAAACATTGTCCTAAACACATTTCTTTTTTGACAACTGCAATGGAAAACAGTAGTATTCATTGTTTAATGCTCATATAACTAATAACTAACTAATAAATAAACGTAAACTTAATATATATTAGAGAAATTATGTAAATAACAACACTAAATTGAGTTCAAACTAATTTTGGAACAATAAAAATCATTTGGTACCAAAGAGGCGACAATATGATCCTTAAAGTTTGATATGGCCTGCCAAGCTGTTATCAAAACACAACAAAATTACAGATTTAGGCCATTTAACACTTAATTAGGTGTGGCACTAATGATTTGAACTGCTGGTATGTAGAATAAAATCATCACATAGCTACCAGCCTTAACAACCAATCAAATTCCACGAGAATACGAGAAAGCACCTGCTTCACTTAGTGGGTGAAGGTCAGTATATAGCCCGGGGTTCTATGATATCAAGGTACTTAACGTTTATCGAAAATATTTAAATATAAATAATTAAATATCATAAATGAATGAGATTTTTCTTCCATCTTATAAATGAACCTTTTCCAGAACTGTTTCTCAAAAAATTATTTCAAAAGAACCAATAAAAATGACATGATTTAGAATATTTTCAATGCCTGCCATTTTGGGTCATTTCAGAGGAGGTTACTACGGTATCAAGGTTATCCCCAAAAAAAGCGGTACGTTACGATACCGAAATCAACTTGATTTCGGTAAAGTTACCGAAATCAACTTTTCATTACCGAAATCAACTTATAAAGTCACAATTAAGCATTTTATTATATTTTTTCTATTATAATCTATTACAGTAGGTTAAGTTTGACTTTTATGCAAAAAATCAGTTCGAAGTAATTAATAATTATGAAATTAGAAACAAATAACTAAATATCAAGATTACTTCCCTGATTTGTCATAAACCGAAATATATGTTAACATATTGAAATCGGCTTGTAAAATCACAATTAAGCGTTTTATTAAATTTTTTCATGATAATCTATTACAATAGGTTATGTTTGACTTTCATGCAAAAAAATCAGTTCGAAATAATTAATAATTATGAAATTAGAAACAAATATCTTAATATCAAGATCACTAAACGAACCGAAATATATGTGTTACCATACCGAAATCGGCTTGTAAAAGTTACAATAAACATTTTAATAGAACATGTTTAATTGATTAATTAATATACAAGAGCTGTCCGTAAGACAGCGCGCTCGACTTTTTTATTGCTTGCCAATAAAAAAAGTTTTTGCAGTAAAAGGCAATACAAGAATCTCTGTATTTTTAAAGTGAACTAGTTGTTTGATACCCTTGAATATTACAGCAATGTTTATATGACATAATTTATGGTAAAGTGAACAAGTGGATAGGAATGAATTTTTTTAGATTTTTTAAGTTTTTTAGTGCTTGCCTATAATACAAAACATTGACAGTTAAGGGCCATAATTCAAATAAAATCTTTGACAGAATTACCTTCTCCTGGACATGTTTGGGAATCATGATTGTAAACAAGTATTCCAACTTTCAAATTAATATCTCAAACAGTTCAGTCAAAAAAGTGGACTGGTACTAAAAACTTAACCAAGATTCTAAGTCGATAAAAAGGCCTTAATTTTTTAAAACAAATCCTTGACAGAGTTACCTTCTCTTGCGTACAGATGGGGGTAATGATGTGAAATAGCATTAAAAGTTTCAAAGCAATATCTCAAAGGGTTAAGGCAATAAGTGGATTTTACCCATATTCAATGTATTTTCTAAGTCAAAAAGGGGCATAATTCTGTCAAAAACCTTGACAGAGTTATGTCCTCTTGTCTGTTGATGAAGGTCGTGATGGTAAACAAGTATGGTCAGTTTCAAAGCAATACCTCCAATGGTTTTTGAAATAAAGTGAGGTGGTACAAAAACTTAACCAAGCTCAATACACTTTCTAAGTCAAAAAAGGGCCATAATTCTGTCAAAAACCTTGACAGAGTTATGTACTCTTGTCTGTAGATGGAGGTTATGATGGTGAACAAGTATGGTAAGTTTCAAAGCCATACTTGTAATACTTCTGAAATAAAGTGGGGTGGTACGAAAAACTTAACCAAGGTGTGACGCCAACGCCGACGCCGACGCCGGGGCGAGTAGGATAGCTCCCCTTTTCATAGAAAAGTCGAGCTAAAAATCAGTCAAACTGAACTATAAACAATAATATAATAAAATAATATTTAATTATAATAAATTATGATGTAATTGACGGATATGTATATTATATCATGATTACTTCCCTTGTTATTATAATGTGTTGCATTACCGAAATCAAAATCAGATTTCATTTCAAAGATGAGAACAACCCCTAAATAATTTGCATGAATTTCAGAAGTCTATGAAAAAAGCTATTTGAGTGAGTTTTAAACTTTGAATTCATATCGCATATTTTAGTCAGATAACATAGCAGCTAGCGTATCATCTCTTTGATGTTTCTTAATGATTTCAAAATACAAGAGTAAACAAAACTGTGTTTGAAGTTATCCGCCTAATTAAGATCACTATTAAAATAGTTGATTGGAAATTATAACAGACAGACAGACAGATATTATGATTACCAAATTGCATATCAGTTGTTCCAAAAATGTATGCAATTTTTTGATGTCCCGGGTACTTTACAATGTATTAATAACTACATATTCTTCTTATTGAAAAAGTTGTTAAGTCATGCTTTTATGTTGATCGATTTATAATCATTTTAAATTTCATATCTGTAAACAGCATAAATTTATGGAATGACTGACATATGCATGAATGATGATTTATATGATGGAATAAATGGAACACTTTATACTGACAAATTTCAATTATGTAATGTTATAACTTGTACGATATGACATGTTGTGTATTACTGTATTAAGTAAGGTGTGAAGTAATTAAGACAGGAGGTACAGTTGACATACAATGTATGTTAAAGATAAAAGATTATAATGGACCATCGGTTTATTTCGTAATAAACATTTGAATAAATAAAATATTAATAAAATATAATTAAATATTATAATAAGGAGTCCCCATAACATATGTTAGCGATTTGTTAATATACAGTTTAACTGTTCAATAAAAGAAAGACACAAACTTTCCAATTTCCAATTTTACTGCCTGATACATTATATATATATATATATATATATATATATATAATGTTTATGGAAATTTTTTTGAGGAGTCGAATTATACACCTGTATTCAAATTTTATTTTATAATAGAAAATCATAAACTTCCGGTTGAAGTTGGATATTTTTTCTTCATAAAACCTGGGATGTACTATAACCGTATGTTCCAGATAAAACATAGACATGTACAAAATTTATAATTAGCTTAAATAACTCACATTACAAAGTATTATATTTTTCCATTTAAGTCCGATCATAGATTTTTAAAAATACGATTTAAATAGAAAATTGTTATGCACGACAATCACGTGCAGCTATATAGCATCCTTAATTGTTCTAATGTCTTGTAATAAATGGTTGCTGTAAATACATAATTTGTGTTCCAAATATCTCTAAACCTGCAATATATTTTAGTTTCAGTTGCAACTGAACCATCAATGCAGTCGGGTTTTCTTTATAATTTCTAAATCATAAATAATCTTTAATAATCACTACAGTATATATGTATTGTACATTTATATACATAATTTAAACTTCACAGCTGATTTCGGTAATGCTAAACACATAACGGGTTGTTTAGAACAAAGGGAAGTAACTCTATAATTACATTTTTGTTAATAACATCATTAAAATAAAATATTTTCAATAGCTTTTTTAAATGAAAGTCTATTTCACTAATTTTCAACAAATAATGAAGAAATAATAGCAATAGTTTAACTAGGTTGGTTTTTACGAGTTGATTTCGGTAATGAAAAGTTGATTTCGGTAACTTTACCGAAATCAAGTTGATTTCGGTATCGTAACGTACCCAGTATGGAAGGATTGATGGGTCAAAACTTTCAAGTTAAGTTGTGAAAAACTTCCAACAGTTAACTTGCTGTAAAATTAAAACTATATGAACAGACTATATTTCAGTATATGTGTTTATAACATATTTTAATTGACTGTATAAAAATCATTAAGGAAAATGGTTGTCAAATATGAGGGTTTCAGGGCTCATCCTGGGGGGAAATTTTAGGGAGAAGTGACTTCCTCGCGAAAATTAGGGAGAAGGGAAACAACCCAATGTGTATGCATTAACATGCATGGCTATACATCCTTTAAATATAATATAAACACAATTAACATCACTTATAGTATTTCTCCAGTTTATTAATTAATAGTAGATTAATTAATAGTAGTATTAATTAAAAGTAGATTAATTAGTAGTAGATCTGGCAATGGCATCTAAATGTTTTTGAGCTGCAAATATGAATATAAAAAATTATTTTTGATATCTATTGATCAGCTATTTATAAGCTTTCTCAAAATATGTGTTTATATATTTTCATGTACATTTGTTGATAATGATGTGTAAGAAAAGATGTGATGATAAAATCAATTTCATATTTTTTCTTTCCTCACTTTTATTAGAAGATGAAGTCACCTTGGATATTGATTAATAAAATCTGTTCTATTCTGTTCTGGTAACAGAAATTTCTTTGAACGTCCTGAATGTTGTAATGTCAGATTTATATGCATATAATTATGCTTATAAAACAATTTTCAAACATCAAAGAATATGTAAAATATGTACTGCAAACATTTGTGCACATTATATTTGATCACTAAAATTACATACATTCATTTCTTATTGAAAAATTTGACTGAGAAATTGTAGAAAATTAATTTCTAATTACCTCCCTTTATTTTCATGAAATGTTAAATTCGGTAATATCTTTATAAATAATGCTTTTTAAAATTTACAAAATTGATAAATCTTAATCTGAGCGTCATATTAACGACATTAAAACAAATATGTATATTGAAACAATAAGAACTCTTCTTCTTGACAAATTTTGTTGTTATATACGTTACATGATATACGACCGTGTAAACTGTGTCAAATTTGGCATTTCTAAAAACAGAACAATGCCAAACACCCCCACTGTCTACAACATACCAATCGCCAGATTTTTGCGAAATGGTTTTCTTAAATTTTCGCGTAGGTGTATCAGAATCAGTAACTTTCTTTTAGTTTTACTGCTAGGTTTGGGCATTTCGCCCTGTAGCCATGACGTGAGCGACATAACAATTTTACAGTAAAAATTTGATGTTAACAGACTGAAATCATTCAAAACTATGATTAAGTTTTCAATCCGGTCGCTGATCATTAATGAAATTGATTATTTTTAATTGACTAACAGTTTTGTGATAGCCGTGAAAAAATCCATTGCACATCGCCTTTACTCGGGTTAAAAACCCACCATCGAAGTACATCGTGTATATCAATTAGGGAAGATTGCACGTGTTTAGATAATCGGGGAAAAAACAATTTATAATTATCGCCAAATCCCGTATTAAACTCGCAAACTATCACACAATTATACCGTTTCGGGCCGATGCTCTCATTATTTACTGTTTAGAGTAGGCGGTCTATCGCTTCGCTTACAGGTAGAAGGGTAGTATAAAGCGACGCTCTGATTGGATAATGATGATTAGGGGTCGTCATATGGGCGGATACAATCTCTGCTCTTTACATCGCTAAGTAATTACTATTTGGAATTAAGATTTTATCGGCGATGTTGACTTCTCTTTGATCAATCGGAAGAGCGAAATTGGAATATACACGGCGAAGTTTTCGCCTGAATCGCCCTTCCGGATGAGCCCTGAGTTTTATAAAATAGTTTTCTTGCCACAAATACATTCATTATTCACCAAATTAAATTTATTGGCAGATGAAAATGAATCTAGTGTGCAAGTTTTACAAATATTAGAATCCTTATGTGTTGCTTTTACTAGCAGTCACAGAAAATTTAAATACCTTGATATCATAGAACCCTTGATATCATAGGAACCGAGTATACAAGCAGAAATATCTTTTGTTTTGCTTACAGTTACGATCTTTCTTTCTTTGTATTTTGTTAATAAGGTATTTCTCTGTATATCAGGCTAAAAATACTGTAACAGAATGTTTTATAAATATTATGCAACGAATTTTAGTCCTTAACCCCCCGAGAATACGAGAAAACAGGATATATCCGAATTTTCCACATATCCGATTACTGTAAATCTAGCTCTGTGTTCATTTTCAAAAAATAAAAATGCATGAAACTGATACTTTGCCATATATTTGCAAATTATATTAAACAATTATAAATTGAAGTATTTTGTCAAATCAACCTCATGGACGCATAAAACACGCAATTTGTTTCGCACAGTTTGCCCACATTTTCTGAACGGGATCTGTCATTAACTTCAGTGTTGTTTCTTTTCAAATCAATAACATTTTAAAGCGTAATATATTAATGTGAATGTACAATTTAACAGAAAAGAATTTTAATGTATATATAATGTGTTCAGTCAGGGTTTTAATCAAAACATTGGCATTAAAGTTCTGCAAGCAATGTTTTGATTTTAATAATTTATCCCTTTTGACGGTGAAGACAAAGGAAAGTGCTCTTCAAATTGGTCTGACCACGTTTGTATTTATTTTTCAACAATCGATTGAAAAATAACGAAATGGCTGGAGATGAGTCTAAGTCAAGCTTGTCCAGCAATGTTTTACAAATGAAGGTATTGACTCAATGATTTAAGATGCTATATTTTGCTTTCTTTTAAAAAGGTCTAGGATTTCATGATATTTATGGACACTGAGTCTGTAAAATTTTGGTCGACATTAAGTAGAAAATAGTAGAAGTTGCATTAAAATTCAAAACCGCATTTTAAAATGAATAAGGTTACATATTATGTGACTATATGTAACACTATGGTAAGATTAATCATTAAGAACAATTTGATGACTTTCCATTTTCACTTTCAACAAAAATTTCAAAATCATCATAGAAAGATGAACAGTAAATGTAAACCATCAATAAAACAACTTGTCTTTTGCTGCAGATTTTAGTGTATAACCAAAAACAGCAAATTTCACTTTGAATATCTGTAAATTTATGGATTGAAAAATCTTGAAATTTCCAGACCAGAGTCCAGACTATAGATTTATCAGTTTATGGACAGTCCATGAATATCATTAAAGTTTACTCAGTAAGTCATTGGCATTGTTTACATTCCTGTAGTCAAAAGCTAGATTCTGAGATATTTTTGTTGTGGGTCAGAATCTCGCTTTTTGTAGAATACACAAAATATCTCATTGTGTAGTACTAGTATAATTAGTTGGACTAGCAGCACTTTTAGAATCTGTCCGCAGCAAAATCCATGACTTGTAAGCCTCTAAACCTAACCCATTCTAAAAACACTAACCCTATCTCTAGAAATAATCTGAGTGATTTTAATGGTCAATTTTAAAGTTTATAACACCAATTAAAAGCTTATGATCTTAGCTTCATCTCAGTATATACATCAACACATTGTTTGACACTAAAGGTATTTAAATTTACGGTTAAACCTACCACAAGTCGGACCATTTAACATATGTTTCATACAGTGAGATATGCAACCAATTATCTTTACTTGCAATTTTACTGATAAGAATAGCCGGTCATCTTCTAGTTCAGAAACTGTCAGTCGGTGAATTAAAGAAATAATATTGGGTAAAATCATAGCTGCGGACAGATTTTAAAGACTAGCTGTTGGACTATCATTCCCATCATGTCAAAAAAACCTCAATAAAACAAAAAATAAAAACAAAATTGTTGTAAATTTACAGTTTATGAAAAGGAGTGCACTTAGAATAGAAAAAGAAAAAAGTGAAGAAGAAAGGAAACATGAAATAGATGATGAACATTGGGTGTTGGATCTGCCGCCTATTGAACAAAGAGAGTAAGCATAACATCATCAGATTTTCAATCATTTTGTAAAAGAAATAAAAAAAGATTGAAAGGTTCATTTCTAGGGCTGTCATTGATTCAAGTTGAAAACATGTTCTGTTTAGTGTCTTGTTCATAAAAGCCCATTGCATGATTTTTATCCAGACCTTTTTTTTTTGTCATCATTGCGCATAATGTTAGACATGGAAACCTGCTTCAGTATTATGTTCTGGGTGAATTTTCCTAATTTCTAGACAATTTATCAGTAAACTATAGGTTAAAAGATTGGGAGGGGGGAACAACACATCAAAAACACCAGGTCGGTTTATATGTTTAATATCACTACCGGTTTCGGGTAAGATATACCCTTCATCAGTAAGTCAAAATTATCGATTTTTAGCTCGACTTTTCTATGAAAAGGGGAGCTATCCTACTCGCCCCGGCGTCGGCGTTGGCGTCACACCTTGGTTAAGTTTTTCGTACCACCCCACTTTATTTCAGAAGTATTACAAGTATGGCTTTGAAACTTACCATACTTGTTCACCATCATAACCTCCATCTACAGACAAGAGTACATAACTCTGTCAAGGTTTTTGACAGAATTATGGCCCTTTTTTGACTTAGAAAGTGTATTGAGCTTGGTTAAGTTTTTTGTACCACCTCACTTTATTTCAAAACCATTGGAGGTATTGCTTTGAAAACTGACCATACTTGTTTACCATCACGACCTTCATCAACAGACAAGAGGACATAACTCTGTCAAGGTTTTTGACAGAATTATGCCCCTTTTTGACTTAGAAAATACATTGAATATGGGTAAAATCCACTTATTGCCTTAACCCTTTGAGATATTGCTTTGAAACTTTTAATGCTATTTCACATCATTACCCCCATCTGTACGCAAGAGAAGGTAACTCTGTCAAGGATTTGTTTTAAAAATTAAGGCCTTTTATCGACTTAGAATCTTGGTTAAGTTTTTAGTACCAGTCCACTTTTTGACTGAACTGTTTGAGATATTAATTTGAAAGTTGGAATACTTGTTTACAATCATGATTCCCAACATGTCCAGGAGAAGGTAATTCTGTCAAAGATTTTATTTGAATTATGGCCCTTAACTGTCAATGTTTTGTATTATAGGCAAGCACTAAAAAACTTAAAAAATCTAAAAAAATTCATTCCTATCCACTTGTTCACTTTACCATAAATTATGTCATATAAACATTGCTGTAATATTCAATTCAGTAAAATAATTCTTCACTAAATATCTTAATGCTCATGGCCATTGTTCACTTTAAAAATACAGAGATTCTTGTATTGCCTTTTACTGCAAAAACTTTTTTTATTGGCAAGCAATAAAAAAGTCGAGCGCGCTGTCTTACGGACAGCTCTTGTTTGAAATGTATATTGATTATTGATCAACAGAAAAGTATCAAGGATACATCGATATTGTTTCTATCTATGACAGCTCTATTCATTTCACTTATAATTATTTGAAATTGAGTCTATATATTTCCAATAACATTATACCTTTTCAATCCAAAGTTTCTAGAAAAAACATAATAAATTTTTAGCTCATCCATTTGTTTAGAAGAAAAGGTCAAAATTTTGTGATAGCTAGCTTTTTTTTGATGACTGCATTGTAAAGGTCATGCAAAAACTTTAATGTAGCCAATTATTCAAACATTTTAAAAGGTGTCAACATGAAACTTGAAACATTTGCTTATCATGGTAAATTGCAGTTGTTAAGACACTGACAAGGGGCATAATTCTGAAAGTTATATTTTTGGAAGTATACCTGTATTTTTTAACTTAGAATTTTTAGGTTGCACTTAACAGACAAACGTTTACTCTTGTTTTTTTAACTGTATTCCACTTTTTAGAACAAATATAATAATTAACAATTTTTTCATTTTACTAAGGTTTTTTAGTAGTCATTGTCAGTATAGTACGAGAATTTATACATGCCGGAGACCATATTTTTGTTTTTGCTTGCAGAAGTAAATATGTTTTAGAGCCAAGCTATGAAAGATGTGAAAATTTAATGTATGGAAGGATGTCTTTCAAAGGTTTCAACACCGAAGTAGAGGTGAGTTTCTTTATTATATTCCATATCCATACCATGAACTTTATACATGTTTATACAATATATAAATATAAGAAAACAAAGGTTATGCAATATGGTTATTACAAGAATTTCTTGATCGCACAATATATAGAAGCACCAATTGTGATTTGTTTTCGTTATGGTGTTACCATTTTAAAAGCAATTTGTCTTCAAATCAAGCAAAAAAAATATGGTAAACTGATGATTTTGAAAAGAAACCTTTATTTTAAGAAATGTTACTTATTTAATTACAGAAATTGATGGTCCAAAATAATGCCAGACTCCAATTAGAAGATGCTGAAAGAAGAGAAAATGAAACCAGTGTTAATGATGAAGAGATGGCTCAAAGGTATTACCTTTCCTGTGCTGTTAACTTTAGATTTTCTTCTATTAAATGTCTATGATTCTATTACTCATTCTACAAAAGTAACATTCTAAATGGTAGAAATCCAATTTCGGCATACTTTCAAAGGGTATAGAGCTGCATCTAATGATTTTTTTTTTTATTTATAAAACAGTAAAATTACATTGTTTCTGTAATCATGATGAAGGGTAGATCTGAAGGATTAATAACAAAAGCATTTGAACAATACATCATTTAAACCATGCATTTTTTTACCAGAATTGATATTGATTTCCATAAGAAAGATCATAAATAAAAATATCTTAAATTGACCAGAGAGGTAATATTCATGACATGATTTGGTTGAGTGACATCACATCTGATGTCATATGGGGTTTAACCATTCCTTTATTTTAAATTATACTTCTGAATTATTTTATCTTCTTTCTGTGGATATCAGCCGTACTATCAAATTGTTCTACATTTACAAATTTAAAACAATACAAACTTAGTATATTGTATATCTACATATATATATAGTAAACATCTGTATTGTATTTGGCAGATTCCAAAGTTTGAGTGATACAATAAACAAAAGATTTTTAACAAAACGGCAAAGACAGACAGAACCAGAAGAAAACTCCAAATCTTCCAGGAAGAAAGTGAAAAAACAATTTATCAAGCCTGCCGATGATTGACAGACAGCAAAGATATAGACTATGATGTTTGTCAGTGTGCAAACAGTTAAACTGTTAATCCTGTACGCAAATATCTTATAGATATGAAGATAGTGTCTTTAATGTTTTTGGTACGGATAGGATCAAACTGTGTACGATGGAATTTGGCAATATTTCAGTCCTGACAAGAGAAGTGGTTATGGTCTTTCCATATTGCAATATTATTGTACATCATTTGGAATTGTGCAGCACAGGGTGATTGATATCTATTTGGTTATATGGTTTTAGAAATGCTCTGTACGAGTTTATATCAGATAAAGATTGCTGCAGTTCATAGAAACGTACATGTCCAACATTTAGGACAATTACAGTAAAACCCCTGCAGAGCAACACCCATTTGGACAGAAATGATTTTGTTTGCTGATTTCGAGATATTTAATCTATTGTGAAGTCTCTGAGATAAATTGATGTTATTGTTGTTGTACAGAGGTTAATGGTCTATAGATGGCCGTTCTTCAGAGGTTAGACTGTATTTTTAATATTTTTATAAAGCACAGCTTTGTAGTTCATATATTCAAGAACTCACAGGCGAAATGTACATTGTATTGTGAATTTGATATACTGGAAAATTTAGGCATTTGAAACAACTTGTAAAATGTGGTCCCAATGGCTGTCATTGAACACAGGTTCATCTGTGCTGGCATACATTTTTTGCAACGACCATATAAGATGCTTTACTGGTCATTTAATATGTAAACTATATAAAAAGACTGCATCTAGGTTGAAATGTAATAGAATTTTACAAAGTGTTGAAAAGGTTTTCACCATTTTAATATTTATTTAATTATGCCGATCATAAGTCTATAATTGAAAGACATGTTATGTATCATGGAAATGAAATTTAACACAAATAAAATGTTCATATATTTTATTAAATATAATAATTTACAACCATTATATACAATTTAAATTTGTAAGTTGTATTTATTTCTTTTATGATGGATTAACATGTTATAAATGTAAAAATATTTATTATATTGAACTGCATGTTTTATATTTTAACACTATTTTGAAGATAATTAATGTCTACAGTCTTGTTTGATACCATTGTTTAAATGCATTGATAAATTATAGAATGGAATGAAATTCAAATATTTACATTTAAGAATAAATAAGATTTAAATTGATACACAAGTCTTTCTTTTCTTTTTTCTACTATTAAAGGTATCGAGAATGATTTCACTGAAATCAAAACCTGCATTCTGGTTAGTTTCTAATTAATATTTGTCGGTCTTGTTTCTTTCCCATGTATCCTATGTGCATTCAAATTTAAGAACTGAAAAAATTCTCCAAGTTTGAAGTGAATAACTGACAATTTTTTAAAAAATAGACAGATTGACCTTAGAAGATGAAGGTTAAGTCAATATAGGGGAACTAATTCGCAAAAATGAATTTAAGGATTATCTGCTTTTATGAAAAGAAATGTTTCAATTTTTTTTCCTGGTTATTACATCATAACACAATATAGATCATTTGGTGACTTTGCAGCTTGATTAGTGGAGGAAGACCTCAGGCAAATGAGTAAAACCACTATTGTTCCATTAGCTAGCTGGATAGCTTTCTCACATGAAAGAATCAAAAGTCCCTATCGAAATTCAAACCCATAGCGGTAAGGGGCAAGTGGTTTAAAATCAATGACCAGAAGCAGTCAGCCACAGAGACCCTTCTGAAATGTCATCCTTTTAAGACAATGAACATGTAAACCAAGTTTAAGGCAAAAAGCCCTGACAGTTTCTGAGAAAATGGATTTTAATGTAAAGATTTACTGATGCTAACATCGATGAGAGGCTCGGGACAATAGTTCCACTTTCTTCTTCGCAAAGTGGAGTTGAAAAAATAATATTGCACAATTTTCTGAATTATCAACCAATAGGCGAGGAATAAATGAAATAAAACAGAAATGATTGTATGGAACATGTACATTGGTGAAAGTTTTCAGGATTATTCCTGAAGTTCAGGATTTTCAGTCTCCTGAAAGCCTTCTATTTCCTATGTAATACTGTAGAAAAACTGCTAAATTCAGGATTTTTAAAATTTCCAACTTGCACTCATGCATGTAGACTAAGTGTACTATAAATAACCATATGAATCATTTGCTTTATCAGTGAAAACAACACCTATAGACAAGTATGTTGTACATTTCTTATTAAACTGCCTATCATTTCCTTTATAATAGAAACAGACTGATCAACAGCCAATAATTGCAGTCACAGTGTTTTTATTCCCTAAGATATATTAAATACTATTGGCAATTCCAAAATTTGGTCATTATTCTCCTTTTATCAACTGACAACATGTCCTAACTAATGTTTCATGACGGGTCACCATCTTCATCTTCGCCCATCTCTTTACGTACACGTTTATATTAAACTATCAAATGTTTTTTTACTATCCCATAGTGACCCAAAATCCCATGTCACGGAAAATTTCCCGTTTCATTGAAATTTATATACATTTTCCTAATTGACCCTCAATAACCCAAGTTTTTTTTCTCTAATCTGCTTCTTGGAATTAACCAATATCATTAACAGGGTTTTTGTTCAGGACTTCGGGACACGACCCATACCCATGCAATTAGGAATTTCAGCGATGTTTTGTTAAAAATTGGTAAAAAAATGCATGACTGAAATTTTTTTCCTGTAGATTGGGAAAATAATATACTACATGAATTTTCTATTGGGAATATGACCAAATATCGGCTTTGCAAAAAGCAAAAAAAAATCCTTGGTCATATGAGGAAATATGAACGAGATCCCCTTACATCTCAAACCTATGATCCCAAAGTTGAAAATTTAAAACGAAGTGTCTGATATTTAAAGCATGTTAACATAAATTATTACAGGAAACATAACCAAATATTCCCTGAAAGAATATTCATACATTATTAGAATATTCATACATCATTATTATATGTATTCCTAAAAAGTTGCAAAGGAGGGACCATTTATTTTCATGTGTTGAATACTTATAAAATGTAAAATAAGCTATATATATTATATATATACTGACCAATATTACATCTCCATGACATCCAGTCAGCCAGCTGATTGCCTGTCTCTGTCTCAAAGGCTACATACTCATTCAAATCTGTAATTAAACATAATTATCTTGATAAAATCAGTCAATTGATTAAGGTACCTTATCCATATTTTGTTACTTTTCTCCTTGAGTAACATTCAAGATAAATTAAAGAGGACCAGGATCAAAGAAAATGACTCCCTGCTACTAATATAATACATATTAATTCATATAAACAAGTAGGGCAGGAAAAGTTAATCAATATATTATCAAAGCTAGAGTAATGGAATATCTCAACTTTACATGATGATGTGTAATTTTTGTACTCTTTAACAATTGAAGGCTTCTCATACAATGTGCTTTCTAAAAGTATGAGAATACCAAAAGCAAAGACAAAGCATTCCATATACTATCCAACATGTTTTAAATATCTTACTAAGCCCTTTAGCACACAATTCAGTTTTTAAAGCTCTATTTTGTATAGTAGTTCATCAACATGGAGTTAAGAAGAATATCTTTATCGGACACACATGCCGATTTTGGCAACTTCCGTAAATATGGTATTGCACGGGCCGTGCATTATATTTTGACTTACGTCATTAGCCGTTATCCACAAACATAGTTGATAAAGACGCCCGAAAAATGTTAGCGGTATAAACCATAACGCGTTCAATGGAAAAAAAGACTCTTATTTCCCTTTAAAACGGTCTTTATTTTGGGTATGTTGATAAAAATAGAATATTAAACTTTTTGTAAAGTTCATTACTGAAATTTATTGCAATCATTGAATAAAAATAATATTTATCTCGCCAAGGCTTCGCATATATAATTTTATTCAACTCGTGCAATAAATTCAGTATTGAACTTACACTCATTCAATATCCTCTATTTATCATTAATCTTTCATAAAAAGAGTTATTAATAAAAAGTATAAAAAATATATATCACTTGAAGAGGAAATCTGTCTCAAATAAGAAAACAAAGAAAAATCTGTGTAACCGGCGTGTCGTGAAAAAGAATCATCATACAGTTACCTTAGTAACGTAAAACCGGCGCACGACAAAAAATTGGGTTAGTTCATTACCTTGATTGTATTAATTTTTGTTGCTTGTAAAGTGGCATTTGCTTTTTATGTCATAACTTGTTTTACTGCCAGTAGAGGAATGATTAATGCAAAGTATTTTGTAGTTTTTATTGTTGTTATGCAACCTACATGTAACATATTCCACCAGTGCACGAATATATTGGACAACCCTCGTCACATGCGCCGGGATTACAGACGGATGTCTGCCTGACTGGTTGTGATCGTCTACCGACTCTCCCTTCTACAGAGCGTTTGCGCCATTTATAAACCAGACATCGTGATAATGAACTGGTCCTGTTTGCCATTTTCAGTTCTTTGTAGGTATCTGTCGGTGTTTTACCGATACTTGCGCAAAATTTAATGATGGTCTGTATTTCCAGACATTTAGCAATTGACCATTTTAAAGGGTAATAAACAGTATTGCCCAACCTTTATGGAAATTTTTTGGTTTACGAACCGTTTCAAAAAGGGTTTAAAACAAAATTTTTCAAAGTTTTTTCAGAGATACATCCCCCAAAACCTTTTCCCTAAATTTTTTACTTTATTTTTATTTTAAAGGGTTTTCTGTGTGAAATAAAATTAATAAAACTAACCCAAATTTTTGTGTGGCCAATATGACGAAACTGGGAAAACCTTTTATGACGATTTTTTTTTTAACGACACCCCGGTACAGGGCTTTTTCTTTTGTTTTTTTTATTTGCGACAGTTTTCCCCCCTTAAAATGAAAATTAATTCGGGCCTTTAAAATAAATAACTTTTTCAGGGACAATAATTTAAAATGCACGAATTTTTGGGGGAAACAACCTTTGTTACACGTTTTAAACATTCTATTACTTTTTTTCATCCCCAATGCCAAGTTTTGACCCCAAACAGACAAATTTTACCTGTGAAAAAACATGAAATGAATTTTTTTCAAAAAAAGGGGTTTAAACCTTTGCATAATTTTTTAATTTTAGAATGTTTCATTCCCCGATTTTGGGGTCCCTCGGGGAAAAATCTTCCTAAAATTATTCTCAGCTTCCTCGTCCTCATCATCTTCATATACAAGATTATCATCATAATCAGCAAACTCTCTGTCAAACATAAGACCACCATTGTATGCCTCAAACGTCAAGTCTCTTTCGAACATTCTAAAATCAAACTGTCGGCTGTTGGTGTAGTAAATGTCATACACATAATCATCGTCATTGGGACGTTCGGATACAACCTCCCTAGCCATCGGCTCAGAGTTACATGTTATCTGATCTGCTGTAGAACTACCCTGAATTATCAATAAATATCCTCTTACATATAATTATATATTAGTGACAGTGCAAATCCTTTTCATATAATTATTAATTTTCCTTTAGTATCTTAATCATTTTCAGAATTTAAATCTTTCTTGCATGATCAGTCATCCTAAGCATTTTTATTGAATAAGTTTTCTACACTTAATTTCTGTTGTTGAACATATGATTATGATACATACAATTTACTAAGATATGACAAAAAGAAACGGTGAAATCATACATGTATTCTCACATAACAGACTCTTGAGGCTTTGGAACCATAACAAAACTGGTGTCAAATCAAGGACAGGCTTGAAACTTGAATCAAAAGCATATCCAATGATTCTTATTTTTACACTAACAGAATGACCTGATTTCATATCCCTTTAAACACTTCGATAATCTTGATAATAATTATGTTATAAATAATCAAAGTTATGTTATAAATAATCAAAGAAAAGTCCTTACCATTTGGTTTGTGTGATTTCCTCTTTCTGATTCCATGTCAACCAGGCAAAACATGCCATCTCCATCATTCTCCCCTTTATCAGAATTAGATACTTTTTCACTAGTTTTAGTTTTTTCACAATCCCGAACACATCCTGTATCTCCCAGTGCTTTTTCCAAAGTTCTTTCCTGTTCTTCAGAACAATTTTTTATTTCATTCCCATTGCAACTACATGTCAAGCTTGTTCCGTCACCGGTATGACTTGTCTTTGACTCACAAGTGTCTTCTTTCACATTTAATTGAACATTTTCACTTATAGTCTCGTGTGACACAATTTTATTACTTACGATGCTTTTGTCCACATTTGTCTCACCTTTGCTCTTTATCTCCAGTCCACATTTTTGGCATACAGTCTGTTTTCTATCTTTATTGTTCACATCTTTTTTACTAGCATCTAAACGGTCCAAGTCCAAGGCTCGATGTTTGGATATGACTTTGAATCTGTTCTGCTGGGATTTCTGTAAAATGAAATACAGTAAGGTTTATGAAAAATATAAATACCGTACAAAAATTTGGCTAAAGTACATGTATGTTGACAGTGTACATTTATTATTTGAGCCGTGTCATGACAAAACCAACATAATGGGTTTGCGACCAGCATGGATCCAGACCAGCCTGCGCATCCACGCAGTCTGATCAGGATGTATGCTGTTCGCTTAAAAACCCTATAACAAGTAGAGAAACTGATAGCCAACAACATGGATCCTGATCAGACTGCCATCTACACATTAAGGTTGTTCATCCCTGGAAGTTTAAGCAAAATCTGCCATCCGTTTTAAGAGGATCACAAAATTTCTACATAGTATATAGTGAAAAAATCAACAAAGGGCCATAATTCTGTTAAATTTGGTTGCAGCAAAAATTCCTTCCTTTACTACCATCTACGCATTAAGGTTGTTCATCCCTGTAAGTTTAAGCAAAATCTGCCATCCGGTTTAAGAGGAGTTGCGTTCACAAGATTTCGGGACGTACGGACGGACATTCGACGGACGGACAGACGGACAAACAAGTGCAACGCTATATGCTCCCACTTTGTGGGGGCATAAAAATGGTCCTTTATTTTTCCAAATTAATTTAAGTAACCTCTGACTTTTCTAGAGGTGTAAACCTAAACTATTATCAGAGCTTTTTTTGCATTATATAACAGAAGCCTATAAAAGACCTCCACCCAAAAAAGAGAAAAAAATCTACAGTTTAGGCAAAAAACCTGGTTTTGTGACAATTCCTGAACATTGCTAGTTTTGATTGAATTTCATAAGACAGTAACTACACTCTGTCTAGTGACTGTATACACATGTTTGCAATATACAAATCTTGTCCTAATGAACCTGTTTCATCTTAATATATAACCTGATGTTTATGTTGTCTGGATCGTTGCCTCACAGAGCCTAGTATGTTTGCCTGGTGCTGCTTGTATTCTCTCTCTAACTTCTCTTTCCTTATTGCTTCTTTCACATGCCGAGATATTCCATCATCCTACATACAAATAAAACACCAGAATCAATAAGTAAGAAGTATAATCAGGGATTTCAGCAATACCTTAGTCAAACTTATTGTAATACACATTGAGATATTATGCTATTTTGTGCATGGGCAATAGAGCTTATTACAATATGATTTTTCAGTTAGTAACTGATGTTGCATTTTGCGCATGTACACTCTGCATAGTGCAAAAACGCAATACCAAAAGACTACATTTTAATACTTAAAGTATTTACGTTTACTAGACGTGAATTCAAGTTATGTCACTCAGAAAACAGTATTTTTTGGATGACTTAAAATTTATGAGTATTTAAAACATGAATTGATATTTATAACAGATATGAACTATGCAGGACTAATAATTCAATGATAAAAAAGTCCTCTGTTAAAAGTATCATTAGACAACTTTTTCTTCATTAATTTCAATTAAAACAGAAGAGTGTTAAAGATAAAATTTTATTACCCATGTATTACATAATATTATTACACTACACAATTGGTATTGTATGCTTTTGGCAAGGTGGTAAATGTCAAAAAGATTGGCACATGATCGGTTGTTTTCAATATCTTTCAACCAGGATGTATCAGTACCATGACATAGTTAATAATGTAAATTTATGAAAATTGAAATTTAAGCAACTTTTATATACATGTATATATCGATCTCAACAATGTTTATTTATTAATTTTATAAAGTGACAAAAATGTGACATGCCCTTTACAATGTGTAAAAATAACCCGGAAAAAAATGGGGTTTAAATTTTACCAAACCAAAACTTAAAAATGCCCACTCAATATTTGAAAGAAAAATTTAAAAAATTTTATTGTTTATTAACTTTTTTTAAATTTGCATTACATGTCAAATTTTGATAGTGGATAAAATCAGGTAAACTGAAAACTAAAAATCACATGTTCTGACTTTTATCAGAATGATAATAAACCTTGAAGCTAAAATGAGTTTTTGTTAACAGGTATTTTATACGGGGAAGTCAAAGGCAGGGACCACAAAGAAGGCCCGGGCTGTGGCTTGCCCGGCTGTAGACTACATGACTGTGTATATTTAAAAGAAAATCATATAAAAAAAAAAACAATTAAAGAAAAATAGAATTCTATACCTATCAATGAAATTTTCAGTGCCAGTTCTAGTCGGGCCCCACCATTTTCAAATGTAATTCAATTACTATAGTGGGGTATTCATAAAACGAATAATCGCAACTTCCAATTAATAATAACCGTTGAGTATTCCAAGTGAAAACTGATTCGGAAGTGGTGCATGAAATACCGGATGACACCTTTAAAACAGAAAAATGAATGATGTCTTAACCAAGTTCCCCATTCAAAGGCTTTACCTAATAATCATAATTATAATTTATATCATCAATCTATGTACTTCTTTTACATTTCTATGTTAGTATGAAGGGCATTAGTATTTTGCCCTACGCAGATTGAGCATGCTTGAGAAAATACTACTTGTGGTTGATTTTTCATAGCAACAGAAAGCATCATTAAAAGTTCTGTATGTCACGGTTCAGAACTGTTCATTATTTAGGGGTTAAGATGTGTAAGCGGGCAGATAGCTCAGTCGGTAGAGCCGCAGTACGGTATTCCGAGGGTCCCGGGTTCGAGTCCCGGTCAGGCTGCACATTTTTCTCACCCTGTGACATTTGACGCCCAACGTTGGGCTGTGACTGATATAGCTCAGAGTTTAATTTACATTGCTCTGTAACTCTGTGAAATTCGAGGACGAATTTCAATATAGCAGGAGAGTAGGTCACGGTTCAGAACTGTTCACTATTTAGGGAAGAAGATGTGTAAGCGGCCGGATGGCTCAGTGGGTAGAGCCGCGGAACGGTATTCCGAGGGTCCCTGGTTCGAGTCCCGGTCAGGCTGCACATTTTACTCACCCTGTGACATGTATCTCACCTCCTGATAAAGTCTAAGCAAGATTCTGGATCAAAACAAAAATATAAATTAAGAAGACTGCCAATGACTTACGATATCTATTACAAACAAGTTTTCTGAGATAATTACTTTTTCTAAAATCAATAAAAGTTTTCCCAGAGCTACATTTCGATTGATTTCGTTTAAAATTTAGTGCGCACAAAAAATATACCAACGCGAAAATATGTGATAATTTGAATTACTTTTGAAGAAACAGTTCCTGCAAACATGAAACTACTTTTATCACCCGGATCTATAAAGACTGCTTCATTAGGTATATCATTTTTAGGCTTTTTATTCGCCAAAAGTAGTATTTCGAGTGGATCTTCGTCTCGTCTTCGTTTTATTCGGACGATAGTTGCCATGTTGGTTAGGTCTAAACCTAACAACAAACAAAAATCGTTATCGTCTTTAATAAGTCAATGTGAATTTTTCGATTACGATAAGATTTTTTCTCAAATGATCATGAGCTCAAATGTTTTTATTAATTTCTTATAACTAAAATTTGGGTTAATATTAAGTTATTTCATTTTTTTATGTTTTAGCACTCGTTTTGTCCCAGCTAGAGTACAGTAGAGTTCATAAATGTTGTTTTTTTTATTGTTCTTTGGAGCTAAATATGTATGTTGTTTGTTTGTTTGTTTGTTTAGTTTTGATGTTGTTGTTGTTTTTTCTTTCAAAAGTTTATGAAAAATTTACATCGCATGGAAGGTGAAAGGACTTTATTGATTGGTTTTAAAAGACCAAATAAGTTTTTGCAAAGTTCAACTCCATTAAATATCAAAGGGCTGCAGCTCTATGGTATTTTCTGATCTTTGCAAGACTATCTGTAATTATTTTCCTGTATAAGTTTATTTTTATATACTATAATTCATCTTACACAGCGACAGCGTTTAGATTTTTTTCTATAACAGTTTGAGATTGATACATATGGAATTTTGCAAGACTACGGTGAAGTTAATACGTATGTACCTTGAATAAAAACGAATACATTAAATTGAGAATTTCCATTTCGTGTTTGTAATCCTTATTAATTTCGAGGTATTTTTTCCACGATTTTCGAGGTATTTTTTCCACGATAAACCTGTTGTTTAACACTGATGAAAATAATTTAGCGAAATCTTCTCGCCAAAACAGTCCGACAGTCAGATTTATTTGTGTACTACGCTCTGGATCGACATAGCTAAAAATAGCATTTTCATTGATTAAAATGATATTCTTCCGAGTGCATTCATGATAATCCGAAGCTTTACGGAAATAGCCGAACATTTTTCATTGGGAAAAAAAGATATTCATCCGCGAAATTTGTGATTGTAACCTCATATTTCTATTGACTAATCTAAACTTTTAATGCACTGTAATTCGTTAGATGCCTACATTAAAAATTATTCTTTCTTTTAAATTGCTGGTTTTTAAGCAGTTTTGAGTGAGAACTACTTTGTGCTGTTAGGTCTGTAAGGAAATTTTGTGTTAGACCGTGGATGTTAGCTATGTATTTACTGATCTTGCGATCAGAAAATACAATAATCGTGATAATTATGATGACAGAGTAAACGGTAAAATTCGTCAAATTGTAGATAAAGTAATCTTATATCGCCTGTATCGATGGATATGCAATTTAAATGATTTCGTTTTGATACATGTAGCATGACTTAAACATTATAGCGAATAAAACGTCCAAATTTTAATGCAGCATTTCCAATGGGTTTTATTAATTACATACATTTCTCCAAAAAGTTTTAAGAGACTTAATTAGTGGGGGAGGGGGTATAATCATATTATCATTTCATGAAAACATTATATTTGAGTTGCAGTATACAAACTCCTTTTCTTTTAAAATTGATAGCATGGCTTTCATTCTAGGACAAAGAATAACCCTAATAATAATATAAGTTTTTCTTTCTCCCAGATTGGAAATTTGAAGAAAAAAACGTGATGAAAGATACCGAAATCTGTAACATACATGTACATTCTTGTAAGTTGTACCTTATCTTCTAGAAGATAAACAATTAATAATCTGCATCTTTTGATGCAGAGTGGATCGAATCCTTATATTAACACTTATGAAGTTTGAAAAATATGGCGCGTATATTGTTCCCGTCATGTAGCCTGGTTCCGTGGCTCGTTCCTTAACTTAATATATCGTCCGACCTACTTTGATTAGGATCACGTTGTGTAGGGTCCATTATTTTTTTAATTTGAAAGAGCTCTGCTTTGTGATTTATTTGTTAATACATTTTTACAAGAGGATTCTCATGCAAAAAAACATATCTGTGATACGTGTAACACCAGTAGCTCTCTACACGAGAATACTCGTTTATAAGAATATCTTCAATTTTATACAATTATTACATCAATGCACATCGTTAGATTTATAGAGACATGTCTGTATAGCTAGGACATGATAAATTTTAATTTTCATGTTAAAATTGTTTAAGTCGTATTTTCACCACTGCTAATAATTAGACCAGGGTCCTTCAAAGTTAACTGAAACAGTGACTATAAATATAAATTTGCATGCAGAGTAATGTATTGATAAATAATCTTATCATTTTCCTAATTATTAATACATGTAGACCTACAATGACTTTTCAAAAATTCAATACATATATACATGTATATACATAATGCAGGATCTATGTAGATTGCTGTATATATATTTTTTCTTATTAAGTACGTAGCAAATATCCTTTAATGATAGATATACATTATTTAGACAATGTTCAATTTGTTATGTCCTGTTTTTCGAACTTTAACAAACTGTACTAAATTGGTTATAAAGGGCCGGGTGACGGACACATGACGTAGCACGTGTTTATTTTTAGTACTCACGTGATACCATTATACATATACAGACCGAGGAAGTGAAAATACACAAAGATGAAGCTTTCAATTTTCTTAATTGTGTTTGTTTCGATCTTAGGACAAATCGATGCATTTGTTGGTAAGTAATTCTTTTAGCATAAATCTTGTCATTTCAGCTGATTTTGACAGGAGGATCGACTTTTAAACTGTTAAACTGTCGATCGCTTTTTGTTAAAATTAAATGCAATTGCAGAGGAAACAATAGAACACTAAATTAAATATTTCAGCATATGCTGCTGAAATATTTCATACTTAGTTGGATATAAAGATATTTGATATAGATCTAACCCTAGAGTGATTTCTTGTTAATAATGATAATAATAATAATAATAATAATGATGATGATGATGAAGATGATGATAATAATAATAATTAATAATAATAATAGACATTTTCAAAGCTTATAGTTAATTTTAGAATCTGTTATAACAATACATGTGCATAGATACTGGGTTAATGTAACAGGGCATAAATACTGGGTTAATTACTGTAACAGTACATGTAGATACTGGGTTACTGCAACAGCACATATAGATACTGGGTTACTGTAACATCACATGTAGATACTGGGTCACTGGAACATCACATAGATACTGGGTTACTGCAACAGTACACATAGATACTGGGTTACTATAACAGTGCATAGATACTGGGTCACTGTAACAGCACATATAGGTACTGGGTTACTGTAACATCACATAGATACCAGGTTACTGCAGCAGTACATATACTGGGTTACTGTAACAGTAAATGTACATGTAGATACTGGGTTACTGTAACAGTGCATATATATAGATACTGGGTTACTACAACAGTACATAGATACATGTACTGGGTTACTGATATCAGTTACCAAGATAGATACTTATATAGACATTTTAGAGAATGATTTCAGGTCGGAGGTTATGGCAGTACCGACAACAGGTGGAGGAAGTGAGAAGGAAGCAAGTTGATTCTCAACTTCAGCTTTTATACAAACATAAAGGTTATAAACAAAGCCCTGTGAAAACATACTACCTTAAGCAGCCTCTGGATCACTTTAATGCATTGTCAAAGGTAATTTATTTCAATATTTTCTCATTACATTACCTATGGAAATTTTCTGTTTAAGCCCCCCAATGATGAATCTAGATATCTGTGATCTGGGAATTCATTTTGCTTATAATTTGTTTGTAAAACAATATTTGCTTCCCAAATATAGATCTTTCAACACTTTAAGGCACTTGTCTAACCTAGGGTATACATTTGTCATTAATATCTCCCCTGACCAACCCTTATGCTGCCCATGGCAACAGATTCTGCCCATGTGACCAGTGCAGGCCAAGATGAGACACTCCAGTGCTGTCTGATCATTGTCTGCACTGATCCATAATAATTTTTTGAAATACCCAAAATGTACAAATAGTTATGTCCTTGTCTAAAGATGGGCAAGTTAATATGAGATATTTAGTGTGGTAAGGGGTAATGTTAATGCAGGGTTTAAGTTCAGATCATAGGAATATAATCAAGAAGACTGATAGGCCTGAGTGATTAATTGCAAAGCATTTCAACGATAAACTGTGCATTATTTTACTATAATGCTTGAAAATTTAATATCTATTTTATTTTCTAAAAAGAGAATTGACAAAAATATGTTTGCTGCATTGGGCGTAGAAGTAATTTTCTTGACATAATTTGGTTTATTGATGTCATATCTGATGTCATATGACGTGTAAGCTTCCTTTTTTATGCTTTGCATATATTGTGTAATGATGCACTCGTTTGCCATATCTGTTTGAATAGTGTGAAGTGTGTTAGAATGATTATTGGTATATATTTTTAGTGTTGAAGACTGAATACATGTACAGCTTAAGCTGGAGCTGTGCGGAGTAAGAGATGCTATATTTTCCATAACATCTCATTATCATTCCAAATAAGACTAAATCTGAGATTTTTCTACTATTTGCTTTTGTTTTCATTGCTCTTGAAGAATCTCCTCTGACTGTCCAGAAATGCTATGTGTAACAAAATAAGACATGCCTGGAAAGAGTCAATCATATCAAAATGTAAAATATGTCTATTGTATATTTCGTGTATGGTAATGAATGACTGCTTAATATTTTTCAGGAGTTGGGTAAAACATATAAACAAAGATATTATGTAAATGCAGAATATTGGTTTGGTCCTAAGAGTCCGGTGTTTTTGTATATTGGTGGGGAAGGAACTTTATCGTCTCGGGCGGTTGAGGCAGGTAAATGTACATTTATAGTTGTTTTTTGGTAAGAATTCATGCAAATGAAAAAATGATTACCAGGGTACCATATATAGATTTTCTTTTAGGTTTAACATAAAAACTTTTTTAGTATAAATAGGGAGACTTTCCTGCTTTACTGGTGGAAGGAGACTATATTGACTATTGACCATGCTGTCTATACATGAATTCAGACATAAACTGGCATCGTATTCAATATATATTCAATATATTCAATATTCTATCTCAGCTTGATTGTTTCCAAACATTATAAATGCCTGAATCAAGATATAAATCAAGATATAAATCTACCAAAACTGAGGGACAAGTGAGTGAATATAGTAACCTTACCCACTTGACCAATATTCAGTATTGTAAATAGCCTTGATTGTCAATTGTTTAATATCTATTGTTTTGAGAATCCTGTTTCATAATTTATTATAGTAATGTACAAATTTGATATACATGTATACCAAAAAAAGTTTACTGGAATGAAAAAATAATACCTACATGTAATTATTGAAATAAGGAAATTTAAAAGTTCAGCTTGCCTTATTTTTAATTGTAGGGGAGATTGTGGATCTTGCGAAGAAACACAATGCACTCATTGTCGGAGCGGAGCACAGATTTTACGGAGCCAGTTTGAATGATGACGGCCTACAGCTAGAGGAACTTCAGCATCTCTCCAGCCAACAGGCGTAATTAATTTACTTATTAATGCTATTATAGTAATTAATTATAGTTATTAGATCTTATTGGCAATCTACCAAATAGTCTTCTTAATAGAGTAACATACATTTTATTTATAATAACATTTACATAAAGTATTTCTTTTATCAGGTGGCATAGAAAAACTCAATATTGCATAAGAACCTAATCTACCTGTTACTGTTAGTGTATCCCTGAAATCAAAATCCCTCTCTTTGAATTAATAGTGTCTGTTAATACTTTGTAAGAAGTATCTGTGTCTGCAGTTAAGGGTCATCAATATTATTATTTAAACATGAAAACCTATACTAATTTGGATACACAATATATTTACAATTTGAGCAGTTCACCCTGTCTTTTTCATGGAATAATCATGCAGTTAAACAATTTACAAGTAACATTTGTATCATTGATACACAAAATATTTACAATTAGAGCAGTAAAACCTCTCTTTTTCATGGAATATACAGTTAAACCATTTTCAGGTAACATTTGTAACAGTAAATATTCATATACAGAATACTCTAACTAACTAATAAATAAAGCTAACTAACTAATAAATAAAAAGATATTAAATGAGTGTAGATTCAATACTGAATTTATTGAACAAGTTGAATAAAATTATATTAAGCGGGCCTCTGGCGAAAAAAAGCGGCACATGTGTGTGATAAAAGACACTTATAAATCCATGGCATTCATGTCACCAAAAATATTTTACAGATTAGCAGACCTGGCTACGTTTGTAAACCATATCCAAAAAGAGTATGGTATCCCAGATTCTACACCGTGGGTCAGTTTTGGCGGCAGCTACCCTGGGGCACTGTCTGCTTGGTTTAGATTAAAGGTAAGTGATGATTGATTGGTAGATTGATTATTATTATGTGGGGTTACAATTATTATCAGGGTTCTATTATGACCGTCAGATGCATTTTATTACATAAAAAATGTAAAACATTTGAAATAAATTACATGTACATAAAAAATGTAAAACATTTGATATCAAGATTTAACAGTAGATTCTACCACTTAAGAAACTTTTAAGTATATTTTTCAGCTTAGTTAAAGACACTCATTTACAAAATAAATTTCATTGGAAAGCAAATGTTCAAATGATTATATTTAAAGTAAAATGAACTGTCCTGGCTTTAATAAAATTAAGAAAGTTTAAACACCTTATCAGATGTTCAAATAAACTGAATCAATGTCTAAAATCACAAAAGTACTTATTACAAAGCAAAAAATGCAAACACAGCCCATGCTCCATTTGTAATGGGATAGAAAAACTGTGAAAGGCAACACAATAGTTAATAACAGTAGTCCAAAAAGTTTCCACATAAAAATCCATTAAAATTACAATTGGCTCAAAACAAAGAGTGAAGAATTACCAAACTATTCTGATGAATTAATTTCAGTATCCTCATCTTGTAGTGGCAGCAGTAGCATCCTCTGCCCCTGTGCAGGCCGTTACCAACTTTGAGGGTTATAATGAGGTAGTGGCGGCAAGTTTTAAAAGTGATCTTGTAGGTGGGTCACAGGAGGTAGGTTATTTATTCAATTTTACAACAATGATAAAGAAATAGAGATGTGGTTAAAAAATTGAACATTTTTTGTAATAATTGAAGTGTATAAAAGATATGTTTGCAATTAAATGCAGTAATAGAGTGAATTTGAAGAAAGAAATTGAAGAAAGTAAGCATGCTGCCAAATTTATAGATTTTAACAGAGATGCTAATTAATGAGGTCAATTTGAAAAAAAAATGGTAGTAGGAAACTTCAAGAATCAGGGCAATGCTGTATATATTTCTTTGTGACATAGGCTAACTTGAGTTTCTTGATTTTATAATGTTTTGATATATTTAGTACATTTTTGAAATTTTCATTATGAATCTGGACATGTGCTGCTTTTATTGCATTTTGGATCACTTCCTTATCATCATCTGATCATCGTAGTCATCATTTCAGTCATCAATATTTCAGTGACCAGTGTTTGACTACATGTATATTGTATTTCATTTTATCCTGGACAATCCTAGAAGTAGGTCAGTGTTAATTGATAAACATTATTTTTTACATTAGTGCCTGGATATGATAAAGAAAGGATTTCAAACGATAGACTCAATGATTGCAGACGGAAAATATGATCAACTACGTACAGATTTCAAATCTTGTAACATGTTGTCTATGATGTAAGTGTTTTTAACCTGCAGTATATATTTAATTAATGACATAGTGTACCGATTATTTTTCGGTTTAATTTAATATATTTTTTGTATATGAAAATAAAGCTTATCAGGTTTTATGTAACCAGTTTGTTTATCTATGGAACATATGTTTCGGCATTTACAATGTTCTTTCTTAGTTCTCTTTTACATCAGAAACCTTACTAGTAATACAATGATGTTTTAATTTGCCTCCCATATCAAGGCTTTGAATGCCAGCAGCAAAAGTGACTTGCCTATGCCACCAGTGATCAATGTTTTATATTGTAGTCTGCTCAATTATAATATTTTGAATATTGAAAATCCTTAAATTAATAATGAACAGTTCCTATTCAAAGCAGAGCTAGTCCATTATCAGCATTTATGGGTGTTAGGGTTGTGAAAATGACCAGTTCCTATTACAAAGCAGAACAAGTCAATTTTAAAGCAGCCTGCCTCATGATTCATGCTAATTTTCATGAAAACTTTGAAAATGTATTTAAAAGTAAAATATTGTGAAGAAAGTAATTTTACAAATTGCAAACAGCATTTTCAATCAATGTAAATAACCAAAAAGAGGTCAAAATATGCAAAATATTTCCTTACTGCATTAGTCACGTAATAAAAAATTAATATGGTGATAAATTCTGCAAAAGTAGTCACTAATGGCAAATAACTTGTAAATTATTACTTGGATCTTTTTACTGTTCTTAAAATCTTAGTACATTTTGTCTCAAGTTTGATTTTCTTGAAATTTTTCGGCTCACCTGAGACATGCAGCTTTAAAGGGTTGAAAAAAATTTATTGCTGGAGCTATTACTACCTTCATAACATTATCAATCCTTACCACATTAAATATCCTAATTTGACTTATCCCTCATTCAAGCTGTACAAAACCGTTTATAATTTTTAGGTAAAATTTCAAAATATATACTCACTGAATAGGGAACAGTGCAGACCATAAGCCAGCTTGTGGGCTATTTTATTGTAAAAAAACATATACAAATTTGTATCAATAAAATATCAATTCATTTTTTATTTTCTGATTTTCTAGACCAGATCAAGTGCTGTTTGTTTCTAACCTGGCCGGATATTTCATGGGCGTGGCTCAGTATAACAATGAGATACCAGGACAGAATATATCACATGTATGTAAAGTTATGCTGTCAACCAGTGATCCGTATCAAAATCTGATTACACTCAACCAGGTGAGTACAAGAGGATGTTCAATGTGTTGCTTTAAAGAAATGAATGTTTTCTTCCTTATTCTTCTTTCACCTTGCCAGTTAGTCCTATAAAAAAAACATGTACGCCCATTTACAGAAACCTTGATTGAAATTTACAACCAAGTTGGGCCACTGACTGATTTTCACTATCCGGAATGAAAATTTACTGGGCAATTATTATATTCTGTTTTATTTTACAAGTAACTTTGAAGCATTAACATAGATAAAGTAAAAAAAACACACACAATAAACAAGTAAATTATGGTAGGAACTTTTAGTTGCCTGAGAGAAAACCTTTTTTACTGTCTGGCTAGTTCTGATTTCAATCATTGTAGATATTTTGCATTATTCATTGCATTGGTAAAGCTCTTAAGTCATCCTATGACCTAACCAATGTTGATTTAATTGTTAGTTCTTACAAAATGTCCTCAACATAACGTTGATCGAATCTTAGAAGTTGCAAAAAATCTTTTCAGATACAAATTGTATCAAGTATTTGAAAGCTGAATGAATTTTCAAAGTCTAAAGATATTCAGTTCTTAACAAAAACTGAAGTTTCAATCTATTTTTTAGTTTTATTAGTATGAAAGTTGCTGTTATTTAATTTAAATGCTATCATTTCATATTATGTTGAATTAAATAAGAAATGCAATATATTTGAAGGAATCCCTTGACCAGGCGCATGAGCCATGTATGGATAATTGTTTTATGAATTATACCAGTTCATTTGCTAACACAACAGTTGACAAGAATGCTTTTGGTCCTGGAATCAGACAATGGACTTACCAAACTTGTTCACAATTTGGATATTGTAAGTATTTGTGTAACTATTTGGTTATTTGTAACAATTGAGTCTGCTTTCTTGGTTAAGTATTTTTCTAAGCTCAAACTCAAAACCAAGAAATTTTATTGATCTGAAACCAGCACAGAAAGTACTATGAAATCCTGAGATTTTAGTAGAACTTGGAACAAAATTTACCTTGAGGTCATGAAACTTTCTTTTGAACTTCTGCTCAAAATTCTGGAATTTTACTGGTCAATGTACATTCTATGCCAGTTTCTGACCATTGGAATACCTGAGACTTGAGTTTGAGCTTACTAAATTTTTCATGACCTGTGAAACAAGCATGAATGTCATCCTGAAACATGTAATTAAACCTACACCCACTAAGTTGTAAGGCAGACATTTTGACCATAAGGTCACCATCCCCGTTTTGTAAAACAGAAGATAAAGGTTATTTTAACATAGGATTAGTTGATATTATTGGAAACTATATTTTCATTGGAGTTTATTGTTTAAAAAACAGACATGCAATAGGTTTATATATTTAGTAACTGATTTTCATTGGTTAATATTGCTTTTAGACCAGACATGTGATGTTGACACCACCTGCCCATTTTCTCACCTGATGGATCTTGAGAACAGTGATATACAGATGTGCCGTGATGTTTTCAAGATTGATACATCTGATGTTGATGTCAATGTACAATTCTCAAATGATTATTATGGAGGCAATCACACGCAGCAATCCAAGATTATATTTGTAAATGGTAAGTCATAATTGCAAATTAGTACTGACTTTTCCTGCCACATTCAATATTTACGCCTTGTTAATTTGATTCATACATGTGTATGTACATTATTACATCTCGTATATGTATATGCTGAAAACATTTTCTTCACAATGTAAGATAGGTTTAACAAAAAGCTGCATTTATTCAAGTTCTGGACTAGAGCTTTTTCACATATGATATAGTATTCATATTCATTGGTTTTGGTTGGGTTTAATATTGCATCAAGACAGTCTTATGGCGACTTCCCAGCTTTATTGGTGGAGGAAGACCTCAGGTGTCCCTCTGTACATTATTTCAGGTACAAACAAGCAGCTGAGTAGAACCACTAACATTCTGTTAAGCTAGCTGGATTATTTTTTTACATGTAATATCCGATGACACTTTTGCAGCTCGAACCTACATTGGTGAGAGGCAAGCAGTCAACAAACAACCTTAACCACTCGACCATGGATGCCCCTCTTTGATAGATTTAGATATAGGGCAAAGTTTCAAAAGCAAATAAAACAGTATGAAAAATGTATTTTACTTGTTTAGTTGAGACAGTATATGTTCTAACAGAAAAGTAATAATCATACTAACACTTTGTTAAAATTATTGAACTCTTGAATCTTGGGTAAGAAAATTTGAATCTATTTTTGTTCTTTAATCCAAATCTCTGTTAGTAATATTTTATATTTGTTTTCAATTTATAAATCAACCAGTGAAACCATATTTCTGTTCCAGGCTCAATAGATCCGTGGCATAAGTTAAGTATACTAACCAATCAGACGACAGTTGGTTCGTACAGTGTATTTATCCCCGGCACTGCACACTGTGCTGACCTTAGTCCCCAACATGACACTGACACTGTAGAGTTAAAGAATGCTAGACAGGTGAGATTCATGTTTATATCACAGTTTTTAACATATCAAAATGCTAGGAAAAGGTTTACATCCTTGCAAAATAACTTTAACAATTTAACTGGTGAAAAGATTGGCACGACTTTGTAGATTGATATATCTTGGACATAATATGTTATTTGTGTCCAAAGTGATATGGACTGTATATGAAAGGTGTACAGCATTTTTGGCACTTTTGGATACATTGTATTTAATTTCTAGCTTGTTTTTTTTTTTTTTGAAAAACGTCAAGCCATTATGATTGCTACAGCGTCCCTGTTGTTGTTGTTGTTGAGCACAGTCTTTATTAAAGCCTTTTTTCAAACATTTTAAAAGTTATCAAGGTCAGATGATTGTGGATTATCTATTATATATAATACCATCTTTGATGTTTTTCTCAGTCTTTCAAAGACAAATTCTGAATTCCTGCAATGTTGATAGACCTGCCTTAAATTTACACATTTTTAAACAGCTGGACTATGTAAAAAGATACAAAAGCAGGTAAAATGAATGAAATATAGATAGTTATTATTTGAGAATGATGTTAAGACTTTTATTTCTGTTTTAAAGGAAATTGCGTCTTTAGTGGGACAGTTTTTAGAAGAGGCTTATACAAAGAAGTTTTGATTGAAGAGAAAAAGAAGCCAATAAAAATAATCTCCTTATTCAACATTCCACAGTCAGCAATTGAATTAATGCATTGATGTCTATTTTAGACACAACGTTATTGATGATCTTTGTTTAAAGGCACATTATGCTTCAGAAATCCATATTTTTTTTAATTCTTTATTATGTCAAACATGTGTTTAATTATGTTCTAATAATGGATTAAGAGCATGTTAGCTGTTTAATATCTGAAGAAAGTAGCACTAAATGTGCAGTTATGTCTCATAATGGTAGCTAAATGTAAACAAAATAGTATTTTCGTACAAACTACTTATTCACTTTAAGTATACCAGTTGCCAACAGATCAAAAGAAGCAAATATATTCTTCATGTATATGGCAAATGAATATTTTAAAGAAACTGTAACAAGATACTGTAAGAAGACACCAAAATCAAAACAGTTTTTGAGAAATATAAATGATAGCATTTCTTAGGCATAGTGTGCCTTAAAAAAACTTCTTTTTTATACATATATGTGATAGAAACTTATGATGATTGTTTAATGTATGATATAATTGTGCCATTTTTATCAAATTCTATCTAAAACATAATTTTTAATAAATAAATGTCTCCTGCTGATTTCTGTATTTTTGTTACTTGGAATTTTTATATTTGATGCTAAAAGAGAGATTATGATCATCATATATTGTCATAGTTACTATTTTTTTTATATATAATTTTTATTTTGTCAATTAAGAGATGTCAAATTAAGAAATAATAAGATTATAATCTGCTTTGTAAAAGATAATTGTTATTTTTTTATGCTCCTGTCCCAAATAGCTTTTGCAGCAAATGTCTGTAGTTTACCAAGATTTAATATCGTGGAACCAGGCTAAAAATAAGTCATGCCTAAACACGTTCTTCACCTTCAGGGGAACTGTTTGGCATTTGGACAAAACACATAGGTGTAAGAGTTGTTGCATTGCACTGTCATAAAACATCTGAACTTTTTAACATTTATTGGCTTATAGAAACAAGAAAACAAGTCCGTTTTGAAGAAATTTATCTAAAGTTTTGTGTTTTTCTTTTGAGACGTAATTTCAACAACTGCGCAGATCTAAACAGACATTCGTCTACGTAGCATTTTATTCGGCTCTTCTAAAGGTATGCAGTGCACAGCTGCTGACCATTCATTCCTTCACAGCCATTTTACGCTTGCGTGAAATCTCGCTTGTTAAGCATAAATTTAAAAATATATATTACTTAATGTACACAATTTGAGGGATATAGATTTTACATTGTCTATGACGCAATCCGTCCATGGAATGTGAGGGATTCTACGTCCTATGACCATGACACATTTCTAGATTTTCTAATTTATCATATATTTGTATGTTGTAAAACACTTGTACAATAGTTGATTATAAAAACTTGTAAAATTTGATTTTAACAACTTTTATCACGTGTTATCATCATAGTTGTTGAATTACAAAATAAATATGTACACCTCATAGAAGATCACATGTTTATATGTAATGTAAATATTTTGCAATGTTTTGTTACGTTCAGTGATAAATTATAGTAATATTTATAGGTACATGTAGGTATTTATTAAATGTTGATGACGTCGATTACTTCATTCAAACCTGTCTATATTTAGCTCCAACGGACTTTTTTTTATTTCTGTATATTAATTATATATCTGTCATATGTTGCGGGTCCGATGGGAATACCCGCAAACATATGTCAGATATTATTAATTCATTTTCCATCACATTTTGCATTCTTTAACTTAATAAAACAATTTCCATGGAAAATTTATGTTATTACATCCGTAACTATTTTCTTTCAACAGCGTTTGCATAACGGCGTAATTACGTCATCCTAAGCCACGCGACTCACCTGGAATCCCCCTTGCCAGATGAAATTTCCGGTATGTGTAAAACTACCAGAAACACCAGTCTGATGTGCAAGAATAACATTCCCTGATTATGGCTTGCTCTCACATCATTTTAAGTTGCTATCAAGTATTTATTGTGATTACAGTTCAACCTCTGTAGAGCGGACTTCTTTACAACATTCACCTCACAAAAACGACGGTGTCATTTTTTTTTCACCCAAAGGAAAGCTTCAAAATAGATTTAATTCCCGTAAAGCAACACTTCTCAACAGCAACCAAAAATCGTTGTCTCCCAAAGTGTATTGCTTTACATAGATTATACTGTAATTGCAATTAAATTGTACTGTAATTGCAATTAAATTGAAATAATTCTGTAAAATTATTGCATGAACTGCTGTCCTGCTTGGCTGCAACTGAATCTACTCGTGCAACCATTCCAGACCAAGGTCAGCTGGTAAGTTCGTGCCGTCTGATCACGTGCTGCACAGAACGCTATTCAGCCAGTGCATATTTTTGAAAATTTTCCTGAAAATAATGAATGGTTTTAATATACAGGCCGTAATTTAGTCCATTTAAGATATTTTGCGTAGCAATGATGCTTATAATATTGACTTTACTTCCTGCTAGGTTGTTACTGAATAATTTACACGTAATGTGAACAAGCTTATCTGTTATAACAAACAAATAAATGCTGTTACATTTAACCTGAATTTATGGTCTGATTTTATTCTTTATCTCACGAGTATACAAAAACGTCGAAATGAATCAGTTTTACGTTCTAATAACAAAATATTTGAACTAAAAAAGTTTTATCATTGCAGATTAGTTGTCAATTCTAAAAATAAAACAACAATTCATAAAAACATTGATCCAGGTAATCATAGGTAATACGTATTTTATTTTATAAAACATTAGACCGCTTATAATAACCATAATGAATGGAGATTTTGAAATCGAAATCGAAACTGTTGGAAATTGTTTAATTTTAATTTTGTTGAGTTTTACGTCACACCAACACAATATAGGTCATATTGCGACTTTCCAGCTTTATTGTTTGAGGAAGAACCCAGGTTCACGCGCGAACCGGCACCTGCTTTAATCCTGCTTTATTTATTTTATTCAAAAACATAACTTGCTGCCTGACAAAACCAGCAGATGAACTTTAAAATGTCTCTTAAAACTTACAAAATCTTCCTACGTTGATTTAAGATTCTTCGCATAAAAACAAAAATAACCAAATCAAATAACCAATTCAAATAATGTTACCGGTATTTCTTATATACGAATGATACAAGGGAAAACGAGTTTTTTGGCGGCCCGAAAGTCTTGAGACATAAAGTGTGTTCCTCCGAGCTTTGTGCTCTAGCTATTGAGCATATAGCCAAATTATTAGCTAGTTTTAATGTCTCACACAATCTGGAAATGAAACATTCCATTTTCCTACATATCTTTAAAATGGACTGCCCCGTACTATGAATAAATATGAAGAAACTTCTGTTTATCAAATACAAAGTTTAGATTATGCTGTCAATATTTTGAAAATGTGAAATACCCTTTATATAAATGTTTAGATTTTAAAAAAATGTGATCAGGCGACCTTTTTTATCACGATGAGTTGTATCTGCAGTAGTGATAAAATCAAGGTCTAGATTACGCTGTCAATATTGTTATGCGATGAAAATTTGCAAAATCTTTCTCAATGAAATAATCTTTGTACATTTTTTGTAATTGTCATTTTTGTATTGAAACATATTTTTCTCAAATTCTAAAAAACACATTTGGTTGCCACAGGCTAAGGTGTCGTTCATTTCTCAATTGGATGTTGAGCAATCTAAAAAAATGCATATTTTGATAAGTAATCTGTTGTACAAATTCTGGTGATAAGTCTTTATTGAAATAGAAGACATACATTCCGGCTTAAGACAGCCATTCCGGCTTAAAAAAGTGTTTTAGCACCTTTTTTCGGCATAAGCCGCCGGCAGTGGTTCGGGATATTTCGATATATAATTTTTGATTGGTTGTTTTTTTTGTAACGTCAATGGTTATTGGTTCAAATCTTTTTTGGTCTTTCCTTAAAAAGTGTGTCTTTCCTTAGTAAAGTCACTTTATGTTGGACTTTACATGTGTTTTATTCTTTAAAATAAAAAAAGGAAAGTACACATATTCTTCTTGATATTTTAGGTAAGAATTTTATATTTTGAATTTCTGACAGATTTTGTTAAACTTGAATTCTCAGAATGTTGTTAACATGTTCTCTCAAGATTACAGTTTGTAAATTGTAAATGTGTCTATGTTTCTGTAATAGTTTAACATTTTTATTATTTTTGTTTGTTAACGGACTCAGTGTAAATTGATAATTCAATTTCGAATCCGCTGATTTATCCTTTTCCGTGATAAGCACCTCTTTTGGCTAAACTGATATTGTAATGATGCAAGCAAAATAGATTTCATTGTAATTAAAGTTTTGAATCATTTAAGCAATAATGCAGGAACTATTTAGTACAGGTAATTGCACAATTCATTTTGAATTATTTAATTGTATTTATTTATTTTTAGCTAGTTAAATGAAACGCATTGACAACGTTATTATTTATGCTTTTGATTATCTCTTACTATCCGAAAATATGGACTGTTGATAATTTGTAGTAAAATGAAGAACATTAAATTTAGCATTATTTTTATATTTGCATTTACTTGTTAATTGTTCTTGTCATTGGATATAAAGGAAATCTAAGGTTTATGACACAAGTAGATTATACTGATCATATTTATAATTAATTGCAACATGTTTTATATTTTATGAAAACATGTTCTATGTTTAATTATGTCATTTTAACATGTTTTATATTTCATTCCATATGTTTGATGTTATCATTTTCACTTTATGTTGGACTTTACATGTGTTTTATTCTTTAAAATAAAAAAAGGAAAGTACACATATTCTTCTTGATATTTTAGATGTCTTGGAAGAGAGTCAAAAACAGGGGCAACAACTCCTGAATTACCTAAACAATAGAAACCGTGCAACAAAGCACAAAACTGGTGGGTAGGGATCTTTCCTGACCTCACAGATTAGCAAGCGAGAAGGAATGGTGCTAACTACAAAACCATCTGCAGTGAACATTGTACAAACTCGGTCTTCAAAACAGAACCAGACACAAAGTTCATTTTCTAGTTTACATCACATCCAGATTGAAGCAAACACACCATCAAGTCCCGTTACGGTAAACGCCTCTACATCAACCAGTACTGTTCCTAGTGCAGATATTGAAAATATCTCTCACTTCACCAACATGGCTGGAACCCTTCGGTTAGAACCTTTCAAGGGGGAGTGTGGTGAAGATATTGAAAAGTTTTTGAGACGTTTTGACCAGTACTGTGCCTGTATGAATTTTAGAGAGGGACAAGCTTTTGCTCAACTTGCCTGGCATTTGGATGGAATTGCTAGACTCTATATTGAAAATCAATCACCGGCTCCAACCACACTTGATGAATTAAAAGAGTTATTAGTGACAAAATATTCCAAAGAAAAACCTGTGAGTCTGAACATTTTCAGTATGAAGCAGGAAGTTTCGGAAAATGCAGAACAATTTCTATCGCGATTAGAGGCAGAAACTTTCAAAACTAAAATAAATGATGACTTACAAGTCCAGATCGCACTCAATGGTCTTCATCCAAGTGTAAGTTCTGCCATTTCAACTCATGGACCAAAGACATTGTCAGAAGTACGCAATCTTGCGCGTCGCTTAACAAATGTAAGACATTCAGCACCGGTAGCTGCTGCCAATAATTCCTTTGAAGATACTGTGAACATTTTAACGGCAGCAGTTGCTCAATTAACAACTGTTATGACAAAACAACAACAACAGCCAGAACCGCCTTCTAGGAATTACAGTCCTCATCATCGCCAACCACAAACAAGACGCCAACCTCACTTTGAGAAGGAAAGAGAAGCATGTCCACGTTGTGGAGGTAGGTGCACTTCCTATAAATATTGTAGAGCAATAGGCAAAACTTGTGACTTATGTGGTCTTAACAATCACTTCAAATCTAAATGTAAGACTGCTCGCAAAAACTATCGGGTAAATTCCAGCTAGGGACTCGCGCCTATCTGCAGGTGTGAGTCTATCAAACCAGTAGATGGGCACAATGATATGAAAACAAAGAAAACCCACAATGATACAAATTTTCAAAAAACCCATAAAAACCAAAAAGATAAAGACTACTCTTCTAAAAAAGATGACCATGATTTAGGTAATAGTGCTGCCAAAAGCAACAAAAGAAAATCTTTTGTAACAAATAATTCTGATAAAACTGTAAAAGAAGCTGAAGTAAATGCCAACTTTTCTGCGGAGTTACTGAGAAATACTGTTGTTGTTTCTGTCAATCAGAGAAAAACTCCGGCCTTATGTGACACGGGTGCTAATGTCTCTTGTATAAGTAAATCATTTTTAGACAGAATTTTTCCAGATGACAAACCGCAGTATGTTTCCAATATTTTTAATTCAATCAAAGGTGTAGGTGGAACAATTCATAGTGTTTCTGGTGCAGTGGAACTTGACATTAAATTTGGTAATCTGACATGTCCACACCATTTTTTAGTTGTGGAAGATCTTCATCATTCCTTGATTCTAGGTCATGATTTTTTGAATAAATATGTTGTGCGGCCGAAAAATGATAAAATTCTTTTACAAAAAAAAATGAATAAATATGCATGATGATTTTCTTTTAAACACAAATATTTCAAAATATAATCATTTTCTTAAAGGTCATATTTTCAAAACTATGTGTGAAATTTCAAATATGTTAAGTTACAGGTACTTTATGTTTTAACAATAGATGTCAAATTTATAATTATGTAACCGGAAGAATAAATGTGGCTTTTCCTCCTTGTCCAATCAATGGTGTTAAAAGTTTTATTCTATTTAAGTGATAATGTCAATTTAGCCGTCTGTACTTAATAAGTTGTTAAACCTTATTACTGATAAAATGTCCAGGTGATGATTGTTGTTATAAATTATATGTTGCTATGCTACATTATTTTGTATTGAAACCCGATTGGTTATTTTGTTATTTAAGAAACAAAGATGTTAAAATTTTATTGGTCAGTTTAACACGAAACCATTTTTAGAAATATTGTAAAGATAGAATAATCGAACAGTTAGATTTTGGATTTCCAATTAATAACATTGTGGCTCTCCACTAGAAATATTTGTTACTGCTTTTTAATATCTACATTGTATTTGTTAACGTCAGGATAACCTGTGTATATTTTATATATTATTAATGTTTGTGGTATTCCACTGAGAAAAGAAACAATAAATAATAAAACGGAACATTGTGTTGAGATTCAACCCACCTTCAGTAGAACTACAAAATCAGCGCATAATACTTGGTGGGAATCAGTGTCTTTCCCAACCTCTTAATTTAGCAAGCGAGACTACGAATTCAACTTCCCCAAGAAAAACAACAATGAGTTTCATAAATGGAATACCATTTAGAAGTGAAAAATCATGTGGACATAATCATTATCACAGACAGGAGAAGTGTTGTGCGAAAATGGCAAGATGTAACAAATGCAAGAGAATTGGACATTTTGCACGAGTTTGCCGACATCAAGCAGTCAAGTCAAGTCTATCTAAACAACGGGATCAAGAACGAATGACAACTTTTATTAGACGCAAGACATCAGAATGCACATTACCATTCTACAATGAAAACGATGCTTTCTTTCAGAACAACCAAACAAACAACTCTGTAAGTCATGTTTCAAAAGCAGAACTTCAAAAGTTGAAATCTTTAACTCATTCAATGAATAAAACAATTAACGGTTTAAAATCAGAAAATGTGGCTCTCAATTTGAAAAATCAAAGACTCAAGGACTTTACCGAAAACCTGCAGAATGAGATTTCCCTCAAGAAATCAGAAATATGTCATCTTCAAGAAACATTGATACTACAAAGAAACTCGCTAGAAGAAAAATTTAGGGCTGACGCGTCAAAACTAGAAAAAATGGACAAACTCATATTAGAATTTAAGAAAATACATGACGATTATGAAGAACTGAGACTTGAATACAATCGGAACACTTACGAAGCAATGGTGACAGAATCAATGAAAAACGACCAAATAGATGAACTTAAAAATAAAAATGAAAGCTTGAGAAATGAGATCGCTCAGCTGACAGACAAAACGAAAGATTTATGTCGCAGAAGAGTAACTGAAAATGAAAACCAACAACACGATCGTTATAACACATGCGAAACCGGGTTCCAACATAGGGGAGGCAATTGTCACCGCGGAAGACAGCAAGGACATAGAGGGCAATACAGCAGAAATAAACGTCATTAGGGGTGTATGGTTTACAATAAGACAGCAGTTAGGATATATATATATTATTAGTGGATGGTACTTACGCTTTTCAGCAAAATCGGTGCTTTATGTTCACAATATATTTCTGTAACTGAATGTCTTACGTAAACAGTATTTTAATGATATTTACTTTTGTTATATACATATTTTTATGCTCCATTTCACAGGAGTGAAATAGTCTTAAAGGAGGGAGAAGTGTTGTGCGGCCGAAAAATGATAAAATTCTTTTACAAAAAAAAATGAATAAATATGCATGATGATTTTCTTTTAAACACAAATATTTCAAAATATAATCATTTTCTTAAAGGTCATATTTTCAAAACTATGTGTGAAATTTCAAATATGTTAAGTTACAGGTACTTTATGTTTTAACAATAGATGTCAAATTTATAATTATGTAACCGGAAGAATAAATGTGGCTTTTCCTCCTTGTCCAATCAATGGTGTTAAAAGTTTTATTCTATTTAAGTGATAATGTCAATTTAGCCGTCTGTACTTAATAAGTTGTTAAACCTTATTACTGATAAAATGTCCAGGTGATGATTGTTGTTATAAATTATATGTTGCTATGCTACATTATTTTGTATTGAAACCCGATTGGTTATTTTGTTATTTAAGAAACAAAGATGTTAAAATTTTATTGGTCAGTTTAACACGAAACCATTTTTAGAAATATTGTAAAGATAGAATAATCGAACAGTTAGATTTTGGATTTCCAATTAATAACATTGTGGCTCTCCACTAGAAATATTTGTTACTGCTTTTTAATATCTACATTGTATTTGTTAACGTCAGGATAACCTGTGTATATTTTATATATTATTAATGTTTGTGGTATTCCACTGAGAAAAGAAACAATAAATAATAAAACGGAACATTGTGTTGAGATTCAACCCACCTTCAGTAGAACTACAAAATCAGCGCATAATTGCGATGAAAATTTGCAAAATCTTTCTCAATGAAATAATCTTTGTACATTTTTTGTAATTGTCATTTTTGTATTGAAACATATTTTTCTCAAATTCTAAAAAACACATTTGGTTGCCACAGGCTAAGGTGTCGTTCATTTCTCAATTGGATGTTGAGCAATCTAAAAAATGCATATTTTGATAAGTAATCTGTTGTACAAATTCTGGTGATAAGTCTTTATTGAAATAGAAGACATACATTCCGGCTTAAGACAGCCATTCCGGCTTAAAAAAGTGTTTTAGCACCTTTTTTCGGCATAAGCCGCCGGCAGTGGTTCGGGATATTTCGATATATAATTTTTGATTGGTTGTTTTTTTTGTAACGTCAATGGTTATTGGTTCAAATCTTTTTTGGTCTTTCCTTAAAAAGTGTGTCTTTCCTTAGTAAAGTCACTTTATGTTGGACTTTACATGTGTTTTATTCTTTAAAATAAAAAAAGGAAAGTACACATATTCTTCTTGATATTTTAGGTAAGAATTTTATATTTTGAATTTCGGACAAATTTTGTTAAACTTGAATTCTCAGAATGTTGTTAACATGTTCTCTCAAGATTACAGTTTGTAAATTGTAAATGTGTCTATGTTTCTGTAATAGTTTAACATTTTTATTATTTTTGTTTGTTAACGGACTCAGTGTAAATTGATAATTCAATTTCGAATCCGCTGATTTATCCTTTTCCGTGATAAGCGCCTCTTTTGGCTAAACTGATATTGTAATGATGCAAGCAAAATAGATTTCATTGTAATTAAAGTTTTGAATCATTTAAGCAATAATGCAGGAACTATTTAGTACAGGTAATTGCACAATTCATTTTGAATTGTTTAATTGTATGTATTTAACTTTAGCTAGTTAAATGAAACGCATTGACAACGTTATTATTTATGCTTTTGATTATCTCTTACTATCCGAAAATATGGACTGTTGATAATTTGTAGTAAAATGAAGAACATTAAATTTAGCATTATTTTTATATTTGCATTTACTTGTTAATTGTTCTTGTCATTGGATATAAAGGAAATCTAAGGTTTATGACACAAGTAGATTATACTGATCATATTTATAATTAATTGCAACATGTTTTATATTTTATGAAAACATGTTCTATGTTTAATTATGTCATTTTAACATGTTTTATATTTCATTCCATATGTTTGATGTTATCATTTTCACTTTATGTTGGACTTTACATGTGTTTTATTCTTTAAAATAAAAAAAGGAAAGTACACATATTCTTCTTGATATTTTAGATGTCTTGGAAGAGAGTCAAAAACAGGGGCAACAACTCCTGAATTACCTAAACAATAGAAACCGTGCAACAAAGCACAAAAATATTTTGAAATGATAAAATACCCTGTTTATAAATTTGATCTAATTTTGAATTCATTATTTAGTAGCTTTTGCTTCTTTATTTTCCCATTTTGTTCAAGAATGATCTAAATGAGTTAATAACGGACGAAAGTAAATAAATGGATTTATATGTTGTATATAGTTGCTGCCTTGTCCGTCATTTTGGTTTTATGTGGATATGTAAACAATATGTAACATCCATACGTGGTTTTATGTGGACAAATAGAGCAATGGGATATTCACTTAAAAGTACGGACACCGACGTCCGTTCGTCCGGGCCCTTTTCCTATGGCTTAAGTTTCGACCGTCTTGTCCGTCACACCCTTATACGGAGAATAACTTGAAAAAGCATTGTTCTTTGTCAAAGGAATTTGCTTAAACCATCGATCAGGAAGAGAAAGTCCATCGTCCAAGAACCATAACTTTACCTTGCTTAGTTTTTTAATTATCCCCCTAATTTAATTATGCGTATCCGGAGTATCACTTTTAAACTATCGATGAACTTTATTGAAACTTCACGCAGTAATTGGGACAAATTGAAGAAAGTGCAGTGACAAAGAACGACAACTTTACATTTTACTTACTTTATTTTTGAAATTTCTTCTTATATAATACTTCTCCGGATAATCACTTTAAAGTACTATAGGATATTTGATTAAAACTTCACACAGTAATACAGATCAATAAAAGAGGGCACCATAATTCTACATTGCTGAAATTCTAGATTATGTCTCTTTTATCATACCGAAAATGTTATATAATGCTTGTCTGGAGAATAACTTCCAAACTGTCGATGACATCTCATTTTGAACAAAAATATAATTTTAAAGTTGTATAATATTATTTTTATCCAATATTAGCTCACCAGAACCGAAGATTCAGAGGGGGGGGGGGGCTATTAGTATCAAAGACGGGGGGGGGGGGTCCGTATTTCCGTCGTCATGCGTCAACATTCATCTCCTCTGAAACTGCTGGGCAGATTGATTTCAAATTCGGTCTGTTGCATCATTGTGATTTTAAATTTGCTCATATAATTTCAGTTTAGGGGTCTACAGAGCTAAAAATAGATGTAAACATCATCCCCTGCTGAACTAATTGATGGATGATCACCAAACTGTGTATGTAGCATTTTTAGGCAGTCTTTTATCAAATTTGCTCATATTAACTTGATGGCCCTTTTTAGTAAACTAAAGCTAAATGTAGAAAAGCCTTTAAACATTTCTTACAGAAATAATCGATGGATGATCACCTAACTTTGTCTGTAGCATTCTTAGGTAGTCTTTTTTCAGCTCAATTTTTCATTTGAAGAAAATGCCATCATATATTTGCTACAAACGTTTTAGTTTTCCACTTGCAAGAAAGAGTACATAAATTACAGGTTAGGAGAATGGTTGCACTATCCTTGTCCAAGATACTTTATTACTAATAAATAAGTAAGTAAATAAGAATCTTGTACATGTTGTGTCTCAATGGACAAATATGTTTGTGAAATATTTAGACTTATTCAATCGATGAATTTAAGATGATTATCTATTACAATCTAACAAAAAATTTAAACATACGCTAGCGATGGGATGCCACTTTTCTAAATATCACTAACGTTAAAAGACCTTCTTCCGCTAGTCAAAAGATGCACAAAAACAGTCATATTCTAAGTATTTTATCAAAGGTTTTTCTAATTTGTATATTTATTAAGGAATATACATAAAAACAAATATGATTAAATATTTTTTTTTTCATTTCGTGCAATCTTGAATGAACAAACATGAAAAATAACGGTCTTTTCTTTTCTTGATCGTCTTTTACGGCCTTTTCCATGATAGTAAATATTCGTATAACGTTAGTCACATGTTTTTCAACAAAACTATACTGTTTGAATAAAATTAAATATATATATAATATATATATATACGAGCCACTGGCGAGCACAATGTTACAAATATAATGTACTATAATTATATTTCATAACAAAAATACGAAACAAAAATTTTCAGTAAAGAAGAATCACGTGTATGTTATTACACTAGCTCTTAGCTTAATGTATATGACGTAGGGTTCACTCCACGTTCACTCTTAGCTCGTTTAACGTATATGACATCACGTTCAATTATATGTCGGAAATGGTAACACATAAGTGATTATCTTTACTATATGGTACCATTCATTGATTAAAATGAATTTTGATAGTAAAATAATTCCTTAACATTCGTCATTTAGGCTGATTTTTACAAAAACAGAAATAAAAGAACTCCGGTTATATATTTATGTTTCCTATATAAAATATTTCTAATGATAGACTAGACTGTTCCAATTATTTTTTATTTACAAAAGCTTTGATACTGTCGTCCTTTGCCTGCCACCATGGAGCGGTGTGCGCGGGAGACCTGGTGCCCGTGAAGATAGAAGTAAAACATTGATCTCTGTAGGTGGCGATATTTTTGTCTTTATCATTCTCCCAGGTATGAAACATTTCTCCAGCCTTTGTAACATCAGGGTTGTAACCTGTATCCTTGCATAAGTCCGCAATATACGCTGTCTGGAAATCTATGTCATCATGCGCAGTTTTCAATTTGGAACGCTTCTCATACCATTCCTTTGAGTTTTCTTTCATTTCACTGAGTGGTCTAGGTTCATTGGGAAGCTTACCGAGAATGTATCTGAAAAAAGAAAAAAAATATTATCTTAACAGGAAAAAAAGTTTTCATCCTAAAATGTTGCTTATCAAACAACGTTTGCTGCGAGTAACCGTAGTTAACCCTTAACCCGCTAAATATCATAAATGGAATCGTTTCTTCATTTTAAACAGTATCATTTACAGTGGTTCTAAAATAAAATTCAACACGCCTGAAAAGTTCGAACTAGTTGAAAATATATTGTACTCAAAAACGAAATTAAGCAAGTTATTCAACCAAAAAGAAACCTTTCTAATATAACGAAACACTGGCTAATCGAAAAACATTGATGATTAAATGTATATACAGTAAAACCCGCCAAAGAAAGGGACAAGGTATGGCCTTTATAAACAAGTGGGCGTTATTTGGAGGTTACTTTGTTCTGCTTAATCTATATAGCTACCCGCTTACTTGCAAATCCATAGAGCTTCCACATCAAACATAGTGTATGAGTAGTACTGGTCTTGTAGTCCCATGTAGAATAATCTGCTGTCCTCACCCATGAAATAAAGCAACCCCTTATATGTATTGTCCGGAAACATGGTCAATGTCGACCTCAGACGAAGGTTGTCTTCCATAAACGGAAACGAGTACTTGTACCCTGTACAGAGTAACACAGCGTCTATTTCCGCGCTCGAGCCATCTTTAAAATGTGCTATGTTTCCATCGAATTTCTGGACCAATGGTCTTTCTTCAATTCCTTTTGGCCATTTAAATCCCATCGGTTTTGTTCTCCATGTACAGATAGCACTTTTTGCCCCGTATTTCATACACTGAAGAGCCAAATCTTCTGCTGAATAGCTGGAACCAACAACCAATAGACGCTGGTCCTTAAATTCTTTAGCGTCGCGAAAATCATGCGAATGCAGTATCCTCCCTTCGAACGTATCTAGTCCAGGGAAATCTGGGATATTAGGAACATTGAAAATTCCAGTGGCAACGATGACGTAATCAAATGATTCTTTTAATGAAGTGTCTGTTTCGAGGTTTGTGATATCAACAGTGAACTTTTTGTCTCTTTCGTTATACTCAACATGCCTCACTACTGTACTGAATCTGATGTATGGTTTCAGATTTACATTGTTGGTCCAGCGGCCTGGAAAATAAAATACATATACTAATAACTAGTAATTAGCGCATGGCTTATCAGTCATTTGTAACCAAGTCATTTAATCACAAAGCAGAGGTGATATAAGTTTTAGATTGCTCCGGATCACGGCAGTAATCCACATTGAAGGAGTGTTTAAATTGTACACCTTTGTGCATTAATGTAAGTCAAAGTCATGATCTTATTCAAGGTGACCATTAAATTATAAATTATGCCTCATCACGGGGGTTGGTGTTCAAACAAAATTGTCCAGCCGAAATGATAAAATTTAGCGTGAAAGTAATATCGATCAAAGTTTTTACCCTCTAGATAATCCCTGAGAACAGGTCTTGGTGGAAATGAGGGAATGGCTTTCCCAAAATGTTTTTCGAATGTGTAATCTGGAAATTCCAGGCATTCTTTTGGACCATTTGACCACAAATGTCTATACATACCAGAATGACATGGTTCACCATAACCATCAGTACCTGAAATAGAAATACGTAGAAATAAAACAATAAAATTAACTAGCTAGCTTTAAATTTACAAAAATCGCCGAAAAGAATGTTATAAAAGCAACTGACACAAGGTTCATGCGGAGAGTTAATAAATACGACAGCTATTGCGGGGGACGGGGTTGGACCAGATTATGGAGTGTCCATATTGGTTTCCACGATATTTCCAAGTTGGGCAATTTATTACTCGCAAATACATAGTATCAACGGCTATAATCAGGTATGGCTTCACAAAAACAAACCTTTTATACTGTTTATCCTAAAAATTATTCAAAGAATAATTAGATCTAATGTGCTCAATTTGACAAACACCTTGTGATCTATGCACCATTTTGTTAAGAATGGCCTTGAGTGATTAAGTGACTACTAAACTGCATAAATATACACGCACGAAGATTTTTCTTATAAATATTTTAATGTCGTCTGGCGGTTCACTTTCTGACATTCGCTTCCGTCGGAAAAGATAGTTTACAAATTAACCTGTTCTCCAGGAGTAAGTCCAAAGACCGCCCCAAGTTTTCTGTTTTTCGTAGCAGACGACATCAACTTGATTGTCGCTCTCCAGCTTGGCAAAGTTCCATAAAGCAGTCATTCCACATGGCCCTGCTCCGATTACACATACCCTTTTCTTTGCCATGTTATATCGTTTGACTCTTAAAAGGAAAAACAATTTACTAATATCATATCTATTTTTTATACACTTTTGCAGAAGGTAATAAAAATTACTTTATTAAAATTATTATTATATCGCTTTAAATTTGTCTCAAAAAAGCAACAATCAATAAGATTTCACCTTTTCTAGAATACGAATTACATATATTTATTTTACGTGTTTTGCAATAATTTATTGCACAATTCGTTTTGTTGCAACACCATAACCAGTAAATGTCATTAAAACGTGTCCTATGATAAAAAATATTGAAATAGAATATTTTGTCACCGTCTGTCCATATATTTCATGCATTTGCTTTTTTATTGCTTTTTTACGTAGCCAAAACAATGTATGGAGGAGCTAACGGAAACGCGCTAGTTCTCGTCTGCTTAAACAGCAGACCATCTTCACAGTTACCGTATATGATTAAGAATACCGGTACAAATTAAGAAACTGTTGAATAATAAGAAACTCTTGAATGATAAAAAAATAAGTAAATTAATAATCAAGCGAACAAAGAACTTGTCAGATCGGAGTGAATCCTGTCTGTGAATACATGAAAAAATGTCCAATGCGAAATAAAACATGTAGATCTAGCCAAAATACAGAAATGGCATGTACAGTAATGAGATATAAAATTGAACTTGCACACATCCACCAGACGACAAAAACATTCAGCCATGTGACCTTGCATAATCAAGCGATATTCAAAGACAAACCAATTAAAAATGAAAATCCACAGGCATGTAGTCGACTCTGCCCCGAATTATTATTACTAGTATTATAAACGTCATTAAAACGAGTTACTGATTTATCCGTGAACATTATATTTGATTAATAACATAAAATTCAAACGTAATGAAAAAGAAAAGAAATTACTTTCATTCATTCAGGTTTTTAATCACAAACATCGTCTATTATTTTGACTACATTTTAACAGTTGGAAAATACACTTCCTGTCACATGCTCTTGATGACATTTGGGCATATTTAAGTGTCCTACGAGCATTAACTGTAATGCAATGTGATAAAAAGCAATGCGGTCACCAGATCGAAGGATAAGTAAACAACCCAGCGTTCGTAAGACAGCAAATCATTCCAAATTACTAGTGGATTCTATAATGTTTACTCATCATTTGACAATTACTTATTTTCTGCAACAATCCCCACCCAAATAAGTTTTCTTTCTTATAATTGTATGTATCAAAACTATTTTTTTCGTCCCGTGAAATACACAACTTTAAGAATGGCGGTCGCCTACATTTCAAAGGCCAATCACAGGCACGAGTATCGGACCTGGGAAGAAAAAATATGACCAGATTGATAAATAAACATGTGTTCATCTTAAAAGTGTCAAAAAAAACCCCAAACAAATGTAAGTAACGACCTCCTTTAAAAATATACTAAAATATTCTTAACTTATAGTATATTTTTAAAGGGGGTCATTATTTACATTTTTGGGGGTGTTTTTTTATGAACACAGGTTTTTTTTTTATCAATCTGGTCATATTTTTTCTTCCCAGGTCCGATACTCGTGCCTGTGAGGCCAATGTAATATAAACAAACATCCGCGAAACATAACGGAAATAAGCTCGGCTTGGTGTAACTTTTTCTTCTTCTAGAATTGTTTGTGTTAATTATTGAAACAAGCGATCATTTTGTTTGGTTTTTTTTGTATAAAATAGTTTAAAATAATCACGTATTGATGAGAAATACGTCTAAAATTGAGGAAAACAGATTGGATATTCAAGTTGATACCGAGGATATTTCATTTAAACTTGTATTTGGACATAAAATAGAAAGAAATTATTTTTGTGTGTGTAAGATCATCTCCTGAAAAAGAAACATATATCCTCTATTGCTTCGAATTTTTTGAAACAGAATTATTGCAAATTCTGTTTTAAAACTAGTAAAAATACAGCAAACTGATGTCATCAGAATATGGATTGCAATAAAATTATTTCAATAAAATTATTTCAAATTATTCATTGAAAAAATAACTTAATCATTAATAAGCATTAATCTTATAGTAACTACTTGTCACGAAGGCTTTGTAATTGTCCTAAAATACAACAAAATTTAAACACGTATCTGAAATAAAATATAAAAAGAAAATATGTAATGTCAGATAAGCATCATACAGCATAATGTATGCATATTCATTTAAAGAAATATATATTCATCGTCATTGAATATATAAAGAAATAACATACCTGAGAATGAAAATTATCAACTTGCAACAAAGTGTATGTTGGCTGATATGTGGAGGTTAACAAATTGTTGAACTACTAAGTCACGTGACAATATATAGACCGACTTACATCAAGGACATTTAAGTCAACATGAGACGGGTATATACATTTATAGCCTTAGGTTTACTTTAGGAGCTCTGAATATGGGTCAGGATCAAACAGTTGTTATGTTTTATATTACAAGATACGATACACATTTTCAATGGCATTTTTGTCTTCGAGTTTGGCATTCATCATTTTGTTATGTTGTTGTACCAAATTTGTCAATGGGTAATATTTAGCGGATAAATAAACCATCTTTTATACGATATTGAAAGTTAATAACCCATATTTTATAGTCATGATCGACCTTAAGGTTTTAAGGTTACAAGGTTACCTGTCTGATAAGCGAGAGGACAATGACCAACATAACGACATGGGTGCAACAATGTCACATAGTAAGGTTATTACAAACAGAGCAGAACAGGTTTTTTTAAATAAATTTAAACAATATGTATGTCTTGTTAATACATCAAATTAAATAATACACGGGATAAGCAACTGTGTTTACACGATTCCTTAGAGAGAGAATGGACAAATCATTAAACATGTTATGATGTAATATACATGTTTTTGGCATTCCGTCCATTGCTTTCTCGTTTAGGGCACACGCATTCTTTTACTTGGGAACCATATGCCGCTGCTTAGGAATGGCGCGATAGTGTCTCATTAAAGGCTCATCGTCATATGAACACATGTTAATTCAAAATGTCATCATTTTCGTGTTTAAATGTTGAACTCTGTTTAAGCCGGTGCTAAGGGTGTGTGGATGGTAGCTTGTATTTACTATTACCGTTCATGAACAGGTTCAATCATATAAATTCTTCAAAGTATCAGTTTTGTTATTTCAAGCGTTCTTCAGGAATTACGTTATTCTCTGTTGTAAGATGTAACATTTTATAACAATGCCATATGATAAATACAAATAGCTACAAAATATGTCAAAGTTGTATATGATCTTATGTGTAGAGATTTAGAACTTAAACCAAATTCGATGTCCTGGGCTAAGTCTGTTATGATTTTGTTACAATCCTTAGGTTTCCATGAATTATGGATTATCAGGATATTGGAGATATAAATTTATCTTATCAGTAGTAAAGCAAAGATTAACAGATATATTTATGCAAAATTGGTATGCAACTTTAAGAGATTCACCAAGAGCAAGAGGACAATGACCAACATAACGACATGGGTGCAACAATGTTTGTGATTTTGGTTTTAAATCATATTTGTCAATGGTTAATATTGAAAAATTTAGGAAATCTTTATCACGTTTCAGGACTTCTCCGCATAGATTGAAAGTAGAAACTGGTAGATGGCATAAACCTGAAGCAATTCCTTATAATGAAAGAAAATGTAATATTTGCTTAAAACTAGAAGATAAATTTCATGTATTATTAGAATGTCCACAGTAGAATGTTTTGAGAAAACAGCTCATAGATAAATATTTTGGAAAAAACCAAATATACCAACATTTATTGAATTGTTAACAAATCAAAATGAAAATATTATAAGAAAATTATCAATGTTCATCTTTAAAATGTTTGAACTAAGAACAAATGTTGAATATTCGTAAATTATAGTAGCTAGGAAGGTAAATGTAATGTTACTTAATTGATATCATTATGCAAAACTTGTGCTTCATTTAAACCTTGCTGTAATATAATTATTCTGTTCGGTCTCAAATATAAAGTAAATGTTAAATATATGTTAAATATGTTTAATGACCTTGATATTATGTTTCTGTATGTATGTATGTTTGTATGTATGCTGTGTACTCATGGGTATAATACCCACATGTATTTGGAATAAAATCTTGAAATCTTATAAGATATAACTGTATTTCAACACGAAACATATCAAGATAATTCAAAGTTAAGGAATTAGATGCCTACGTTAATTTGAAAGTATGTATGAGCATACTTTTAACGTTGACATATTTTGTTCGAAATTTTTTATGCACTTAACATTTAAGTAAAAAATGGCATTCATCTTCAATATCGTTCATATCACATACTTTAAACAGATGTTCCTGTCTTTCCAACATACTGTCTTGACCATACCTGGCAGACTCAGTCCATAAATAATAATAATAATGATAATAATAATAATAATAATAATAATAATAATAATAATGATAATAATGGTCTATATATACCGAGAGAACTCATTTGAACAACATATCAGTCTTCCACGAGGCCCCCCAACAAGGAACAATATACATTAAACTTATTCAAACTATTAAAATACACAATTGTAAATGCAGGAGATTATCAATTTGTATAGATCGATGTGTGATAATATCTCAAGTATAAGGTTTTAAAACGGTTCACAGATGTAGCAGACTTGATATAATCAGGAAGGCCGTTCCAAATTCAAGATCCAGAATAAACAAAATTCTAACGAATTGGTCAGTATTTGGTCTAGGGGTATAAATTTGAAAATCAAATAAGAGTATGAACATCTGACGATAAAATGAAATTATTCAATTAATAGGAAGGCCCCTGTTTATTCATTATTTCAAACATCATCATAGCTTTTTGAGAAACAACTCTCTTTGAAAAGGTCATGCAGCGGTATTCAGAAAGTAGCTCAGCGGGTAGAGTGTTATAATCTTTGTCTAGAATTAGATTAGATTGTCTTGCAGCTCTATTTTGGAATTAAATGAGTTTATCTTCTAGAAAAGACGTACAGTTACATTAAATTATGCAACAACAGTCAAGATGTGGTAAAATATATGCAATGTAAAACATTTTACACTATACATGCATAGATATGAATAATTTTATACGAGATAAGAAATTCAACAATGAGTTGCATTTTTTTGAAAACATTATCAATATGGCTTTGTCAAGATAAGTTGTTATTAATTGTAATACCTAAATTTTGTTCTTCAGAGCTACAAACAATTTGCTCTGTTTTGTACGAAATACAAGGATTACGTTCATAATTATATAATTTTGCTTGTGTTTTGAGGACATGTACATGATCTTAGTTTTGTTAACATTGATAGACACGATTCAAATCACACCATTTGTTGGCATTTAAAAGATAATGAGTAAGAGATTCAACTACCCTGTTTAGGGATACATCAGAGGTTGAAAGGGTGGTGTCATCAGCAAAAATATCAGTTTCTATTTTTTCCATAGACAAAGGCAGGCCATTGATATAGATTGAAAACAGTATAGGACCAAACACTGAGCCCTGAGGAACTCCAGTAGTTACTGAACTTGACTCTGAATTTTAACCAGATATGTAAGTTTGTTAGGTTCTGCAAATATCTAAATAGGTGGAAAACCAAGCACCTGATGAAGGGTCTAGGTCATACATATTCTAAGCTTTTGAATAATAATGGAGTGATCCATATAGACAACGCTTTAAAGAGATCAAGGAAAATTGAACCAACTATTTCTTTTTTGTCAGTTGCTGTAATCCAATCATCAATAATTCTAATCAGTGCAGTTTGACATGAATTCTTTGACCTGAATCCAGACTGACGTTGGTATAGAAGTTGATATCCTCAAGGTATTGCTTTAAATTTGAACTGACATGACGTTCAAGAATAAGTGATATCAAGGGAAGTATAGAAATTGGCTTTTAATTTCTTTTATCACTTTTAGAATCATTTTTATGTATAGAAATGACTTTGACATTTTGAACGATTAAGGAAATATATTGTTGAGAATGTTATTATTGAGTATAGTGGTAAGTATGGGAGCAATAATATGGGCCGATAACTATAAAAACCTTGCACTGAGACCATCTGACCCACATGACTTTGTAATATCTATCGATTTTAATTGGTTCAACACGTAGGTGAGCTGTATTTTAGGTATTTTGAAAGGGGGTATATGCTGAAGTTTAGATGCATTTAGTTCAAAAAGCTTAGGATTTTCATAACCAGTCTAATTAATGGCATGATGGGATTGGTGGAGATTCGCAAATTGTCTGTTGAATAAATTTGCTGTGATAAAAGGGTTGCCATCATCAAATCATGTGCATGTATACGTGTTTTCGTTATTAAAGAAAGCACACAAATTTAACTTGTTTTACATATGCATATAAGGAACAATCTGTAACTGTTTGTTTGAATTTGATATGATTGTTTTTACTTCAAATGATTTCGGAAATTCACATTCACCGAGCAAACATTTTTACATGATATGTACCGAATTTGTACCATTTTAATTACATTGTTCTAGATCATTTTGATAAATACCTTTTTAAAATGATATTATCTGTATTCAATAGTTTAAACCAATATTTGACAATACTTACATATTTATTAACAAATTTAATAGATAGCACCCCAGTTCACCTTTATACTGCAACATTGAATGAGCTAGTATTAGTTTACAAAACTTGAGACGAATTCTCGTTTGAGAAACCCCATATTGGAAATGCCTAAAATAAAAATAGAGCATAGAACAGTGTAAAAGAGTTGTAGCAATAAATAAATTAACCATTGAAAAGTTTATAAGAATATCTGGTCATCAGATGTCTACTATTTCATCTTCACTTGCTGCATTTCTTGCTTGGGCGCCCTTTGATGCTTTGCATTAATGCTTTTCTTGTATTCAATTAAAACGCGTTAATTTTGGTGTTGATACTATAGGCGCATCAACTTTTCTTATTTAATAGAATATTGTATCCATGCAGATTCAATGCATATTATACTTAACTCGTTGAATAAAACAAAATAGTTGTTGCCAGAGGCTCGCATAATATAATTTTATTCAACTTGTTCAATAAATTTAGTATTATATCTATCTTCATTCAATATCTGAAATAAGATCTCAAATATAAGGTATTTCGGACAAGCATTATATAGGATAATGGATGCAGATGTAGACAATATTCACTTAAAGAAATTTATATTTAATCATCGTCATTTAATAAATAAAGAAATAACATACCTGGGAATGAAAATTATCAACTTGCAACAAAGTGTATGATGGCTTATATGTGGAGGTTAACAAATTGTTGAACTTAGATGA